GCAGGGCTGAATTGGATAATACTGGCCTGTCCCTCTATATCAGGGTTTCCCATACTTGGCTGTCCAGCTGTTTTTGGACTACAACTCCCACCATCCCTAGCTACCAGGACCAGTAGTCAGGGATGATGGGAACTGTAGTCCAAAAACTGCTGGAGACCAAAGTTTGGGAAACCCTTCTCTTATATGCACAGTGTCCCTTTTATTTGTTCTGCCGAACACATTGGTATCATGGGCTGTGGCCAGAGAGAGATGTCAGGAGCATTGCTAGACAGGACAGCCTCATTCATGGGTTCACTGAACATGTGAACAGTACTTTGGAAAAGGGAAATGGTTTTTTGTTGTGGGTGTGTTTAAAACCATCTAATGTGCTCAAAGCTGTTGGGTGTTGGATGATGGATTGTTTACTATCCCATTCCTGAATTTTATTTAGTAGATAGCATGAGTATAATTTGGAGGCCACATCCAAAAGGCTAATGGGTCTATAATTATGAGGGTCTGAGGGGTCTCCTTTCTTGAAGATTGGCACAATGTTATGCATTTAAGCCTTGAGAGGTTGAAAGTGAAGATCAGAACAATAAATGCAGTATAATAATCTGAAAATCTGAACAATTTAGCATAATCTGCAAATAAAACATTGGATTTACGTAAACTAACTCAGTCTATTTTTCTGATTGACAGATGGCGTTATTTGGGAGAATATAGACACTTCCAACGCTGCTGTTGGTCAAACAAGAGCTCGTCATTTTAAGAAGCTGCTGCAGTCCTCAACATTGGATATCACGTTCCTCTGCACTGAATTTACTGTCTTCCCATGTGCATTGATGAGCAAGTAGTCATTTTGGTCAGGAGTGGAAACTTCAGTTTGAGTGGTTTCAGGGAAATATTTGTGGGAGCTTTTTTTATAATTCAGCTTTTAGCTGCTAAGAAAACATGGTTATTAAACATATACATATATATATATATAAATAAATATATTATCAGTGGGCTCCCAAGTGAGTCAGTAAAATTTATTTTAAAACGATTCTTTTAGTTTTGTCATTGAGCTATCAGGATTGTGTGTGTGTATGTAAAAATGCACATTAAAATGAAATGGCTGTTCCTGTGTTTGCCTTTCAGTTTGTTTGTGTTTTTTTCCTCTTGGGAAAAAGTCATTTTTTTAAATGCCATTTATTATAGGTGTCTTTATTGCAAATCAATAACTGAGAAGGCTTGGAAAAAATATGCAACTGCTGGAATCCAATAGATTTTCTTGCAGACAGTGGAACATTTGAATTACCACTCATTAAAATATGGCACATAACAATTTTATTTGTAGTACTTTTTGATCTGTCGGTAACTGAGTTGGCACTGAATTGGAGCTACCACTAATATAGTGCTAAAATGGAATTAGCAAAAGCTTATCACACTGTATTTAATTTTAACTGTCTGTGGGGGAAAGTTTTATCATTACATGTATTATATTATTGTAGAAGTAACTGTATCATGGGGTCCAGGATGATGATATGTTAATGTTCAAGATTCAGTGTCTGTTATCAATACCAGGTGGTTTTCATTCATGGGATTCTCTAATATCCAACAACTCAGCTTCATATAATCAACAGCAAACAGTATATATACATGGGCAACAAGATATTATAAGGTACATAACCACAAGTGCTGAAAGTCGTACTCCTGCAACACTATAGTCTTATCAGCCTCTCTCACTCTGCAATTGTATATGAAGAAAGCTCTTGTTGAGAATGCATAGATGTTCTGTATAATGTATGAAGGGCATAATTCAGCCTAGTTAAGCATTTTGAGAGCCGTCTGTTCCAAAGGGCAACCTTAAGAGTGTTTAGTTTAGCCTGGATTGTGCACAAGGAATTTCAACTTTTGGTGAACTCTTCTTACCTTTTATGCTGTATTCTATGCTGCCTAGAGGACAACTCTGTCCCGTTCTTTACAACAACAAAAAAGACAATTCTGTTGGAGCTAAAGAAATGGGAAACTTTTATATGTTGGGGGTGTTGAAATGTAATGTAGCTTTGTTCTCGTGACTCTAAAAATGGGCACGTATTGAGAAATTAGTTATTGAAGCTATGTGATAATATACCCAAATGCTTACAATATTTATGTTGATGTCATTCAGCAAAAAATACTTCCTTGGTGACTGTGCAGTATGTGGTAGCATGGTATGGTGTTCTTCCAAGTTAATTCTGCAGTTTTCCTCATAAACAATAAAGAACTTAATCATATTGTGGTGGTGGTTGATGTATTTAGTTATGACAGATTAATGACACAGCATTTTCTGCAGGTAAAATGTATTTGTATTCAGGTGTTGAAACACTTAATAAACAGTTTCTCCAAAGATGCAAGGGGAAAGGTTTGACATAAAACTCTTTTACATGAAATACCAAGAACTCAAGGTTTACTACAAGAAAAATTGATAGTTTCTATAAATCAAAAGCAACTTAACATATGAAAGCCAAATGCAAGCACAGTTGATTCTTAAATAGACTACACTGTCCGAGTCTATAGCAGATTTTTAAAAGCACAAATTATTTTTAATTCAGAAAGTTACAAAAATTGCTTGTGGCAGCAGACATCATTTTTTAGAAAGGTATTTCTCAAACTTTTACACACAAGGAGGAATCCTAAGATAAGGCCTGCTGTGATTCATGCATTTTTATAAAAAATACTCTATTGTTCAGACAGTTTCATTATTGAATAACTTGTTGCTCCCTTAAAAAAGTTTTATAGAGACACGACAGGGTGCATGTGGTGATTCTGATCTTGCACAACAGCCTTGGATATGACCACCTGAAGCTACATTATACTCACTCAGACCACAGTATTTATTTCAGTCCGTATGGTCTAGACACTAACTGGTAGTAGCTTTCCAGGGTTCCAGGCAGGGTTCTATTACTTACTCTACAGACACATTAATGAAGGATAAAGCTATCAATAGGTATGAGTTCTGATGCACACAGTCATGCAACAGCTTAGATTTTGGAGTCCTGAAGTCTGGCAATTCTCCCAAGTCTTCTCAGACAAGTTCTTCTCAAAGTGTTTAGGTAACTACAGTTCTGCAGCGACCCACCCTTTTCTGATAACAACTGACCCCAAACCAACACTGATAAGTAAGCTATGAGATTCAACAAGGTGCATCTCAGGAGTAAGTCAGCTCCTTCCTCGCTAGTGGAATTAACCCATTAACTGCATTCCTTAATACGCCTTCCATTTTGCATTCAGAGGATATATAACTACCACACTTACTACATGTAATGAAGTGGGCTCCAGCCCGTGAAGACTTATGCCACATCTAATTTGCTAATCTTTAAGGTGCCACAAGTCTTTGCTGTGTTTGCTCCCTGGGTCTCATAATTTAGGATGTTGTGCCAACTGTGTATATGAGTTGAATGACACACATGTAATATTTTGAACAGTTATTTAGCCACAAAAAAATCTAAACATACAAATCCAAAAGGACGTGAACAGGAAAAGTAAATACATGAGAATTAGCTCAGAGATTAGCCTATTAAAGGAAAGAGAAAAACTAAATTTGGAACAGCATTGTGGACATAAATTGCATTATCTTGTGTAGGTGAAACCTTAGAGCACTTGTTTGGTATGTAGAACGTCCTATTTTCAGTTCCCAGCACCTCCAAGTGAGCTGGGAATGTCCCATCTGAAACCGTGTTTCAGGTTTACCACTCAGTGTGCTCGGGCTGAGCCACATAGACTGCTTTCTGTGTTCCTATGCAATACCTTTGCACTGCCCAGATATTTTCCAAGCTTAACTACTATACTTTTCCTGTATCTATCTTATGACTTGTTCCAATTCCTAAGTAGTTGAACACTTGTGAATTTGTGGTTCCTAGCCCACATGCTAGCTATTGGATATATAGGTTATAGATAATACAATGATTTTGCAGTCCCATTTGTACATTAGGGAAAGTGAGATTTATTATTCCCATGTGAACAATTTTAGGGAAACTAATTGAAATTACAGTTCAATGTTTTTTGGGTAAAAGTCCTATTGAGTTTTGTGGGATTCATTCCCATGCAAGTATGCATAGCATTAAACTCTAATATTATTTTAAAAAAGATAAATACAGTGAAAGTTCTGAAATCCATAGTAGGCCAGTACCCTTTTGATGTTGCTAAAGGGAAATGTCTCAGAACATTTTTAGTTCTCCAAGTCTCCTTATCGATACAGCTGTGAAAGAGTACTTTATTTTTGCTTCCTAAATTAAGCAAGGATGAGAATGGGAGATTCCTGCTAAGCAAGGGAAGGGCTGCTTCATCAGTCAAGGCTCAGCTGTGGAGCAGAATCTGAACGCCAAGCCTGCCTTGGGCTATGTGACTGGAGTACCTTTTCGGCATGTATAAAAAGCGCATTTTCTCTCCTCAGAGTAGCCAGGCAGCGTTTCCCCAATTTGGGTCTCCAGCTGTTTTTTGGATTACAATTCCCATCATCCCTGGGCACTGTTCCTGCTAGCTAGGGATGATGGGAGCTGTAGTCCAAAAACAGCTGAGGGGGGAAAGACCCAGGTTTGGGGAAAAACAGCCTACCTCCACACACCTGCAATTAACCCAGTGTCAGCCTCAGTAGTGCGCCATGTGGAGTTTAACGCCCTTTTTATGTTTATGTCTGTTTTACCGTCAAGTATTTCTAGGCCGCCTTTCCGGGTAAATACAATTTCGAGACATTTAAAAAAAAAAAAAATTACAAAGGCTGTCCCGAGTCCCACACCCAAAAGGCAGTCAGAAGAAACAATACTAAGGGAAGAAAGAAATGCACTGCTTCGTGTGTGTACATATATATGTGAAGAATGCCAGAATATACGGCTGCGTCTCTTTTATTTTAACGAAGCGGGGAAGGAGGAGGCGCGCATGGCAGGGCAAGAGAGCAGCAGCGAGGGATTCCTCCGGGCCCCGCGAGGGTCGCCAGGGAAGCGTCGGCATTCGCTCCTTCCCCGCCCCTTTACTTCCGGGGCACTTGGCCCGGCCCTTACGCCTGGGCCGGGGTGGGCGAGGTAGGTAGGCCTGGCCGGTGGAGAAGGGCGCTTCCTCCTTTCTGTTTCTCGCTCTCTCCTCCTCCTCCTCCTCCCGCCGCGGGGCCTGGGCGAAGCCTCGAGGTGGGCGCTCCGAGGAGGAAGGAGGGCGGAGGCGGAGGCAGGTCCTGTTGGAGAAGCGGCAGCTGCAGTGGCTGGGCGAGCGAGCGGGCGGGCGGGCGAGGAGGCTGAGAGACGCCGCGACCTGGAAGAGGCAAGTGTGGTGAGGCAAGTGTCTCGGGACGCCGCCCCCTCCTTCCCGGGCCTGCCGCGGCCGAGACTCCCCCCAGGGCTGAGGTGGGAAGGTCGAGGGCGGGCGGGGGGCTGTCCGTCCCCCCAGGGGATTCTGCTGAGGGAAAGTGAGCTGCACCTTCCCCTCCACCTTTTCTGGGTCTGGAGCCGAATCCCCCCCCGCCCCGTTTAGCCGCCCTGTCCCGAGAAGCGACATCCCGCCTTCTCTACCACGCTTAAAACTACCCGCATTTATTATACTGTCACACACAAGAGATACTTCGGTTTCGTATTTGGGAGTGGGTTGGGGTGCTGCCCCCACCCTGGTCATCCTTTCCTTGGTCCGTGCTTACCTACCGCGAACGGTTTTTTAAAGTGTAGAGAGCCACGATATCGGTCATTCGGTGGGTTCAGGGTGTTCTTTATAGGGTCTTAGTTCTTTGCTGTGGCATGAGATAAAAGGCTGATTAGAGTAAATTAGCCTGGGGTTTAACCTCCCCCCCCAAAAAAAAACAACTTACCTAGATGTCCAAATTGTGAGAGTGATAGTTTGGCAATAGTGCAGCAAATTGTAAGGAAAACTGTATTCTTAATAACATATTAAATCAGAAGCGTTGCCATTCTGTAGCACTGTGCTCAAAATTGTTGCAGTGGATTTAATCTCTTTTTTGGGTGCCTCCTCCACAAGAGGTCCATAGGGTGACAACAGGGCCTTTACTGCGCTGGCTCCCCATTTGTAGAATGCTCTCCCAAGGGAGGTTTGGCTGGCACTTTCATTATACATCTTTAGGTGCCAAGCCAAAAGCATTCCTCTTCAACAAGGCCTTTGGCTGACTAACATACCATAGTGTTTTAAATGTGGGGAGGTGTTATTGGTTTGGTTTGTTGTTTTTATTACATATTTTGTGCTTTTATCTTGCATTTTTATGCAATGAACTGCCTTGAGATAATTGGATGAAGGGCAGTAGTATACAAATGTTAATAAAGTAAATTCACATGTAAACATGTAAGAATCTTTAACTATCATGACTTGGAGCACAAAAAGAGGGATTAATATCTGCTAGGTTAAGGCTGTAAAAAATAACAGCTGATCGATCGCCTGGTTTCTTAAAAAAATTAGCTGGTTTCTAATACTAGCACCTAAGTGATCTGAAATATATAGGCTGATACAAAAGCAAGGAAGCAGCTTGGACTGTTATGGAGGACATCAGATGTTTGATTTCCTGCATTTGTGGTGCAACTTTCATAGGAGAAACCTGTTTAACTACAATATGGTGATATATGTAATTTTGTATTTGTATATCGAACTCTCTCTTTTTCCATCTGCCAGAATACCGCTTTGGATACCAGAAACCTGAAGCAGAGTTACAATAGTGGCCAACCAGATGTGTCTGAGAAGCCTGCAAACATACATGAAGGCTATAGCCATCTCCTATTGATGCTTCAGATAAACTGGTACTTGGGAGAAGTGATAAAGACAGACAGAAACATATGTTGAGAAGATAACAAGTGGGAACTGCTTTCATTACTGCTTTTCCTATCCCTTGCCTAGGTGGCAACTATGGGTGTGGGTTGTTGCCTTGCTTGTGGAGTACCCAGACACATCTGACTGCCCACTGTGGGAATAGGATACTGGACTAGACAGACCTTTGGTCAGATCCAGTGGGTTGCTCTTATCTTTGTATTTGTACATGAGAGAATAACTTTTTTATAAATGTCTGAAGTTTTGCTTTCCATTTCATTGGGTTCGTTGAGCGTTGTGATTTTTCATGGGGTGAAGAGAGGAGTGGTTGACAGTGCCTGGAATTGTTGGGTATCGCTCAGCAAAGTGCTATACTTTTTAGCTTGTCTGTAGGGCTGTGAACCTTTGGCAAGTTAATTTTCTTCAGATCTTAGACTTGCTCAGCAGAGTCTTATATGAATTCAGTTAGTTATAAATAATATAGTACATCTCCTTCTTACACTAAGTGTATAATTACAAATTCATTTTTGTTCAGTTGCCTTAGGGTGGTTGTGCACATCTGCTCTTACTTCCCTAGGTTTTTATTTATATTCCCAAAAATTATAAAATGGAACTGATTGTCAGTTGTTCTTGGGCACTACAGTTTTGAAAGTTTCTATTTTAACAGTTTGGGTTATAGAATAAATTGCTATTTTTCTTTCACCTCTACATACATTGTACGCACCTGCTTTTTCCATAAGCTTAGGTGACTAGTGTCACTCTTCTTTTGGATTCTCTTTGCTTCAGAGTAGATGGAGCTGTGTTTGGTTGGAGACCACATTAATCATACTTTGAATAGACCCATTGAAATTGATTGACTTGTAATCTGTTTATTTCAGTGGATGTACTCTTGGAGTGTGACAAACATTGAACATTGCCCAATAGATTTAAATCAAATTTCCAATTTGGTGATATAATATATATTGCCTAAACAAAAGTGTTCATGTTGAAACATACTGGTTTGCAAAGAAACAGAGTTTTTCTAATACATAGTATAATCTAAAACCTCTAGTCATGGTTCCCACAAATCTTTGCACCACACAATTATATTTGCTGAAAGACAAGAGGAAGGCATAACTCTGAAATTTCATGAATTTCTATTTTGCTCTTTCTGCAAACATGCAAGGACACTTAAGCAAAACCAATTGCTTGAAAACAAGGTTTTGTCTGAAGGTAGTTAAATGTTACAGATAGGTAGCCGTGTTGGTCTGCCATAGTCAAAACAAAAAAAATTCCTTCCAGTAGCACCTTAAAGACCAACTAAGTTAGTTCTTGGTATGAGCTTTCGTGTGCGGGGTATTATTTAGGGTGGTGGGAATGGGTGATTGGCAGATAGCTGCCAATCACCCATTCCCACCACCCTTCTGAGTAATACCCCTCCCCACCTTCTCACTATATAGAAGGATCTGGCAACTTCTGTTTCAGTGTATCTGAAGAAGTGTGCATGCACACGAAAGCTCATACCAAGAACTAACTTAGTTGGTCTTTAAGGTGCTACTGGAAGGAATTTTTTTTGGTAGTTAAATGTGTTTGATTGTGAGTTTGGCATTTGGAATATGATTTTCAAAGCATCCATAGCAGTGAAAAAAACTAATCAATTTGTGACTTTGATTTTTTTTGTCACCTCTAATAGAATTGGCATCAGTTTTTTGGCATAAACATATGCTGTTGTGTTCTTTTTTGAAGTTTCTTTATAGTTGATTTGTCAGCTTGCTGTTGGCATCCATCTGAAGAGTGATTCTGGCTCCAGGGTGAAGTCAAACCACTGTGTTAGCAGCAGTGAAAAAACCGCCCCGGGGTGCATGTCTGGGCAGGGTGTATGGAGGTCCTGGCTCACCCAGAAGACAATACCTCCTTCTCAGCCTTGCTGATGTGGTCTAAAGGAAAGCAGGGCAATATGTTTGGCACGGGCACCAGCTTGGCTGCAGAGTTGCCAGGAGAAGATGTACAAGGTGTCATCAGCTGTCTTAGGGTCTCCACTGTGAACTTATTGTCATCATTAAATTATCAATTTAGATACTTAAATTGAGTGCAGATATTTTAAAATGAATAAATATTAAATTTCAGTCATAGAAGTATGGTCACAAGGCAATTTTCACTTTCTACCAGATTGTTTTTCAAAGCTAAATGCATTCTCCAGATGTAGTAGTCTGTTTAGACTGACATCCTGGTTTCCACTGCCCTAGGGCAGGGCTGTGGAAAAAATCATTCAAAACCATCTAATACAAATCTTAATAATCTTGTGGCAAAATTGAACTGTGCTTGTTGTGGCAGCAAGTTTTATAAGAAAGAACTTTAAACTCTTGGATAAATATCTTGTTTCAGGCACTGTTCTTTCTATAAAAATGATGGAGGGAGGAACTACATTATGTAAACTTTCTTTGAAGACCTTAGGTATGCAGGCAAATTTGTGTGAGATATATAGCTTGTTGCCTGGCTTCCTATGGCAAGTATCACCTCCAGGCCACTATATAATGAACCTTTCCTAAACTGGAAGAGCTGATTATTATTTTTCTTTCAAACCTCAGATCTTCTACAAATGACTAACAAGAGTGTGTGTCAACACAAGGGCTGGTAACTTACAGACTTCTTTTTCAAAGCTGATATGTGCTCAAACATGCATAATGCAAAGTAGTTAAAGGAGTAGTTAAAGTGTTGTATGTTGAAGAGAACATCTCAAGTTGTACAATATTATGTTCTGCTTTCTTGCACCTACTGCATGAATACCATAGTACACAATGTAAACATTTTAAGTATTGTGAGATAGGACTACAGTGGTACCTTGGTTCTCGAACTTACCGTATTTTTCTCTCTATTACACGCAGATTTTTTCTTCTAAAAAGGAAGGGGAAATGTCTGTGCGTGTTATGGAGCGAATGTGGGGGGGGGGTCCCTGGAGCCGATTAGGGGAGCGCAGGAACAAAAATCAGCAAAAATCAATCGTGCGTTGTGTCCGAGAGGGAAACCTGAAAAGAGGAAGTGGTTGCTTTCCTGCATTCTGCCTCAGGGTCTTACTGCCCACCCTCCTCTGTTTCGTTGCTGTGTTTGCTCAAACGGAACAAAGAGCAGGCAAATCCCCTCCCCTCCAGGCAAGCAGAGGGGAAAGCAGAGGTCTTTCCTTCTAATTCCTCTCCGTGCTCCTCGCAGGCAGCCAGAAAACATGCAGGAGGAGAGAGAAAGCTGGCTTCGGTTTGTGGAAACTTTTGCCTTTCTTTCTTCCCTCCCGTAAAATCCCTCTCCTGCTTTCTTAGCCAGCTGCTTCTCTGCACACCGCTCTCTTGTCCCTTCTGTGTTTTTCCTTCACTCCCCACTTAAAATGTAGTTACAAAGCATGGATCCACATGGATCCTCAGGATCTTTGCATTGGGCCACCCCAAATTCACCATCAGATCACATAGCAGCCTGCCCCCCTAAAATCACACACCCACTGTTGCCTGGGGCTGCAATGGTGCAAAAACGTGGTTAAAAAGCATGGATCCACATGGATCCTCAGGATCTTTGCATTGGGCCACCCCAAATTCACCATCAGATCACATAGCAGCCTGCCCCCCAAAAATCACACACCCACTGTTGCCTGGGGCTGCAATGGTGCAAAAATGTGGTTAAAAAGCATGGATCCACATGGATCCTCAGGATCTTTGGATTGGGCCACCCCAAATTCACCATCAGATCACATAGCAGCCTGCCCCCCCAAAATCACACACCCACTGTTGCCTGGGGCTGCAATGGTGCAAAAACGTGGTTAAAAAGCATGGATCCACATGGATCCTCAGGATCTTTGCATTGGGCCACCCCAAATTCACCATCAGATCACATAGCAGCCTGCCCCCCAAAAATCACACACCCACTGTTGCCTGGGGCTGCAATGGTGCAAAAATGTGGTTAAAAAGCATGGATCCACATGGATCCTCAGGATCTTTGCATTGAGCTACCCCAAATTCACCATCAGATCACATGTCTGTGGCCACAGCATGAAGCACAAAAATGATACATCCACTGTTTCATTCAGAATTTTTTTCCTTGTTTTCCTCCTCTAAAAACGATGTGCGTGTTATGGTCAGGTGCGTGTTATAGAGCGAAAAATACGGTAATCTGTTCCAGGAGTCTGTTTGACTCCCGAAACCATTCAAAAACCAAGGTGCAGCTTCCAATTAACTGCAGGAGCTTTCTGCACTCAAGCGGAAGCCATGTCGGACGTTTGGCTTCCAAAACACATTCGCAAACTGGAACACTTACTTCTGGGTTTGCGGCGTTCGGGAGCTGATTTGTTCAGGAGCCAAGCCGTTTGAGTACTAAGGTACCACTGTATCTTCAGTAAATATTAGAAACAGAAAGGAATTAAGCATAACATGAGGAAAAACCTCAATAGTACAGTTAAAAATGCAAAAAACAATTCTGTGTAACTGTTACTTGTAGAGCATAATCACAGACCCCTTTCTCCTTTTTATAACAGTTTCAGCAAGAATGGCACCAACATCCATCTGACTCAGGGATCATTTAGAATTAATAATAATTTATAATAATTTTTTTTTTATACCCCGGACATCTGGCTGGGTTTCCCCAGCCCCTGTTTCCGTCAAATGTAGTTTTACAGTAGCTTTACAGCTTAGTGTTCTGGTTCTTATTGCATTAACAAAAACCTTAACAAAATATGCAAGGGATTTCTTATACAGACTCCAAGAAAATTGATACTGCTAAAAAAATTAAAGTATGTTGTTCATGCTACCATCACTTGGCTCATAGTAACTCCAGGAGGCCTTGAGCAGATTTGCAACATACTGTTGCCAATTTCCTTTCTTCCTTGTTCCTGTGTGGTTACCAACTAAACTACTGTACCATGCACTCCATTAACCTGCTCACCTAAAAATCTCTCATAGTGAGGAGAGACGGATGAGAAGTTGATCATCAAGCCAAAGCCTCTGGGTTTCTCGCATCTAGCATATATACTTTTCTGGAGGGCTTCAGGCCAAACAGTAGTGTTTTCCTTTAATCATGACTTATATTCTGGAAGCACCAGTGCCTAATTCTATCCATATGCATCTGTAGCCGCCAGATCTTTGGATTCTAGCATTGTAGTCCATTTTGGAGTACTTTAATGCATTCTTGGAAAAAGCTAGCCTTCCTTGGTTTGTGTGTAACACTGGTGTTTATTGTGCTAGGTTATGCAATGTTCCCTCTGCAGTATGCTAAATTAACTGAAGCAAAAGCAGCAATACCCATGGATGCAGAAGAATTTTAGCTTTTGGCAAGGTGGCGGCCACAGTTTTCCAGTATAAAAAAATGTTTTAAAAATCCCTGAGTATCTACAGCCAAGCTAGTTTTGATTTCTTCCCTAATTTCATAGGGGGAGCAGGGTAGAAACCCTGTTGTGCAAGTGAAAGCCCTTAAACAGGGGTTTGTACTGGTGGGGTTTGTTAGGTGAATTCTACCCACAGAATTTTTAGACTATGTCAATGTGTAAGCCTTTGACTGTTTCATAAATTGCAGTGTAAAGGATAAAATAGGGCAATTGATGAAGCCCATGTAAAGTTTTGAATAGTAACGGTTTGAGGGTTTTACCTGAGGTAACCTGAAAAAGGTGAAACTTTCCATGTGATGACAGTGTCCTACACCACCATGATTCTCAGTGTGGAGCACTTTGGTTCTCTTAACTAGTTGGCTGGTGCAGGATGAGGTGAAAGCTTTATCCAGCCTAACAGCAAAGCACCCCTTCCTGGTCATGGGGTGATCCATTGCCACCAGATAACAGGGACAGTGGTGGAGTTCTTCTACTCACCCCCAAGAGAGAAATGCTGCTTTTGCCTTGTGGCAGAAGGCCATGTACCTTTTGCCTTCCCAAATCTTCCTTTATTAGACACATAGTTATTAATAATGACAGAAACAGATTTGTGTGTCTTGTCAATGTAAGAGTAAAGGTAAAGGGAACCCTGACCATTAGGTCCAGTCGTAGCCAACTCTGGGGTTGCGGCGCTCATCTTGCTTTATTGGCCGAGGGAGCCGGCGTACAGCTTCTGGGTCATGTGGCCAGCATGACTAAGCCGCTTCTGGTGAACCAGAGCAGTGCACGGAAATGCCATTTACCTTCCCCCCGGAGCGGTACCTATTTATCTACTTGCACTTTGATGTGCTTTCAAACTGCTGGGTTGGCAGGAGCAGGGACCGAGCAACGGGAGCTCACCCCGTCATGGGGATTCGAACCGCTGACCTTCTGATCGGCAAGTCCTAGGCTCTGTGGTTTAACCAACAGCACCACCCGCGTCCCTACAATGTAAGAGTAGGGCTATATAAATTCACCCTGGCTGTTGAATATCCCATTATCAGAATGTGAGGCCTAGTCCCAGGATGCTCTTGAGGGCTGCTGTTCACCTGAGAGCCCAAAGTGTGTGTGTGTGTGTGTGTGTGTGTGTGTAGTGTAGTGCAATCCTAACCATGTCTACTCAGAAGTAATTCTTGTTGGATTCAGTGGGGTTTACAGGTATGTGGGGTTAGGATTGTAGTCTAAACCTCATATTTTGTTCTAGTCATGACTGTCTAAGATGAGACATAATCAGGGGTCCTGTGGGGTTGGGATTCTGTAAACAGTTTCCCCAGTGGCAGCTGGGAAAAGGAAGGGACCTGTGAGTCAATTCCTGGATCTGTGATTCTGAGTGAAGCGACTGAAGCAATAGCAAGGTTAGAGTAGGTGCTGTAGAAATGAACCAGGCATAAAGGGGGACAGGCAGCATGCAGAGCAACAAAAGCCTGTTCAAATGTCATTTTGGGGGTTCTAAACTTCTACGTGTTGCATTGTCAAGGTGGAAGAAATAAAAACATTTCCTATTTCTCAGGGATATGGTTTATATAACAAGTCATTTGACAACCTTTGTGCTTTTCAAACTGATTAGAACTTGCCATTTTCATTTCTGTTGTGGTTTGACTCTGTGGAACATCTGGAGCATGGTGATGAGGTTGAGATGAGAAGCAGAATATAACCTTTGAAAATAATTTATGTAATCGTTAGGGACTCACAGAACCAAGATTGCTTATTGTTGCTTTGATTTGGATGGGTGTGAGGGGTGGGAAGGAGAGGAGAAGTCAAACACATATCTTCAATTCTCATTCCTGCATAATGAATCCTATAACCTCCCTCATTTTATAGATCTTTCTTTTCAAACACTTTTAAATATCTTACCTTTCCATTAGGCAAAGTCAAATGCCATTCAGGCTATTAGTTACATAGATGTTTCAGAAACAGATGACAATACAAGAAAGCAATTGTCAGTCTGAAAGTATCCTCTGTTGAAAACTGGATAGAAGCCAGTGACCATGACAAAGGTTGTGTTCTTGCATATCTCTCTGTGTAAGGACATTTCCTCAAAAAAAGAAATTACTGCTCTGGTGACTGAGACTTTATCTTAAATTATTTTTAGTGAGTCTTATTGTGAAGCAAGTACACACAGGATAGCTGCCTTGGCATGTTGTGCAGATATCTTTACAAAGGAATTCCAAGTGTTTGCCCCAAATGTCAACATTTTCTAAACGTTGTCTTGTGGATTTCAAAATGGTTTGTTGATGCCTTCCAGTCCCCTTAGAAAAAGGGACCTTACCTTACTTCTGACTAAAACGTGAATTTGTATTGCACCTGAGTTACTGACAACAGGTTTTACTTACTTACAGAAATGTAAAGGCATGCCACAATATCCACCCATTTGCCTAAAGCAGTTACATCCTCGGCTTGGCAGCTGCCATCCACCCACAAAGGTTGAAGTCACAGGGAAGAGAGTAAGCCTTTGGAATAACTTTTTAAATTATGTCTCTTCATCTAAAGGTGTGTCATATGTGCATCTGTTTATCATCCAGAGCTATTTCCCAAAACATTTTGTTTCCTGTAGTTTAATTTTGGTAGCCAGCAGAAGGAAGGATGAGCAGATTCAAGTTGTATTAAAAGGATGTAAGGATTTGGGTAAATATATAAATCATTGTTCACATTTCTTTGAAGAGTAGCAAAACAAATTGAGTAACTTTTGTAGTAATTTTTTTGTCCTCTAAATGGATTAAACATCCCTGTCAAGATGTTAAATGACTTGACTTTGGGGTGAATTTTAAAGACTCTTATGTGAACGGTTTCTTTCCACAAGGTGAAAGGAGTGTCTGTCCTGTAAATTATGCTAGTACTCTTTATCCCGAAGCAAGATCCTATGCATGATGTCAGTCTTTCCCACGCTACCAATGTGATTGCATTGCTGTTTGGATGACAAGTCCTTTTTCTTGGCTGTGATTTCTGTCACACATATCCAACTTTGGGATTGGTAGGGCTGTGATTTTTATGGTATTTTTCTTGGCTTTGTGTAGTCATTTGGGACATGGATAGGACTGTTATTCTATTCGTAAGTGAGCACTGTGTAGAAACAGTTCTGATATTAGAACATATTTCATGTTGCTGCTCCATTAATGAGTGAAAAACTGAATATGTAAGACAGTAGGCAAGAGAAGATGTTCATTTTACAATACTCTGTGCAAAAGGTAAAGGGACCCCTGACCATTAGGTCCAGTCGCAGATGACTCTGGGGTTGCGGCACTCATCTTGCTTTACTGGCCGAGTACAGCTTCCGGGTCATGTGGCCAGCATGACTAAGCCATGTCTGGCGAACCAGAGCAGTGCAAAGAAACACTGTTTACCTTCCTGCTGGAGTGGTACCTATTTATCTACTTGCACTTTGACGTGCTTTTGAACTGCTAGGTTGGCAGGAGCAGGGACTGAGCAACTGGAGCTCACCCCGTCACGGGGATTCGAACCGCCGGCCTTCTGATCGGCAGGTCCTAGGCTCTGTGGTTTAACCCACAGCGCCACCCGCGTCCCAGCAAAAGGTAGGACTCTGTTAAAACAAACGAAGAAAGGGATATGTTTGCAAATACGGTGCATGGAAAAAAGAACTGTTTGGTTGGTTCACCCCCACAACATATGAATATTATCTTCTAAGCGGTAGCAGGGTTGGTATGTTGAAGAAAACAACAACAAAGACTCTTATGATTCCTTAATGGGAGCAGATTTGTTGTAATGCATCTGGTGAAGTAGACTGGCTTGTGTTACTATATTCATTGGCCTTTAATAAATTATTTGAAATATTTTTGTTGAATAGACAGAGAATTGTTATACTGTAGTTTGATAATAACATTAAAACAGTGCCTGGCTGAAAAATCCTTGCCTATTTGAAAAGGTTTAAATGGCACATACTTTACTTCCATCATTTTCTTCACATGTGGAGAAAGTGACTCTGCAGCCACTGAAGATGCCATGCCTCTCAGGTTTTTACTGAACAGTTTTTGCTGTGCAGATTTCACATATGGATGGCACTACCAGACTGACCATAGAAGTACTATGGAGTATTGTAAAAGAGGCCACAAAAGTGGGCAGTCTTGTGTACCAATCTCAGATTGCAGTATACTTGGATGCCTCTATGTTAGTTGCTACCACTTCCCTGAATGTAGTTGTTCAGGTAGCAGATATAATAAGCAAACACCACACCCCTATGTACAGAGACAATGACTAGGTCTCAGTTGGGATTCAGAAATAGAATTTAACAAACTATGAGTAATCCTGACATAAATATATTACATACTCTGCAGCTAATTATTTATTGTCCAGGGAGCCTTTGAACTTGTGCTTTTAAAGTTGCCTTATACAGTGGTACCTCGGGTTACATACGCTTCAGATTACATGCGCTTCAGGTTACAGTCTCCGCTAACCCAGAAATAGTGCTTCAGGTTAAGAACTTTGCTTCAGGATAAGAACAGAAATCGTGCCCCGGCGGTGCGGCAGCAGCGGGAGGCCCCATTAGCTAAAGTGGTGCTTCAGGTTAAGAACAGTTTCAGGTTAAGTACGGACCTCTGGAACGAATTAAGTACTTAACCCGAGGTACCACTGTACATGCCTTATACAAGCTGCTTATGAATGTAAAGGTTATCTCAAATACTTCCACTTTTTATAAGTAGGTGTTCTGAAAACCTGGGATTCCCGCATTGGTTTACTAGCTTCTTAACAGAGCTAGTTTATACCAATTAAATTCCCACTAATCCAATTTATCCAGAAGTGCCATAGCTGAAGCTTCTGAGCAGTATTTGAGTCGCGGGCTCAACATCTCACACGCTGTTCTAAAACATCCTCCAAAAAATCCTCCTACAAAACAGATTTTATTTGTGTGGTATAGAAGGGGATTGTAGATGTGAAGGAGAACTGAGATGGCCAGGATTCCTGTTCCTGTTCTGATCCAGAAGAAGGTTCTATTGGATCAAAGAGCCTCTTTCATCAGCAGGAAGGCACCAGTTGGATGCAATCTATCAGCACTAACTTGCAGAAATGAAGTCAGCAAATTGCTACTACTTTGCTTTAAAGGAATAGCTTATACAAATGTTCTATTTCGTTTTTCATTTCCACAATGTGGCTGTTCATTTAAACATAAAAAAGCCTAAACTAAAGTACTCTGATATTGTGTAAACATTTTAAAATTGTTATCTATTTTAATTGTAACAGATCCCAATTATTAATAAGTAGTCATTTGTTTATATTTTCTTTATAGATTCAATAAATTAATTGATAGGAAAAGATGGTTAGATCACGATCAAGATCACCAAGATGGAAACGAAGGTAAATGTCCATATTTTTCTTCGGATCATAAAGGTTTCTCTTAACTTACTAGAAGAGAGCCTTAAATGATGTTGTCAGAAGGGACTTTTTCAGGGTTTGAATGAGGCTGAGTCCTAATAATGTAGAACAGTAAATATGTTCAGGACTCCACATGTGAAATAGATGCTGATAATAGAAATGCAAGTTTAGTGTTTTCTCCTTTCTTCACATTAGTGTTCTAATGCCTATTTGAATGGAGTTGGAATGACTGCATATAAGGAGAGGCTTACTAAGTGTGATTCATTAGATCAGAGCCAGCTTTGTGTGCACAACTCCTGAGAGATTCCTGTTTGTATAATGGAGAAGATCTGCTTACAGGAACCTGTTATTTGTGTTTATTGTCCTTTTAAGTATCAGGACATGCATTTTAATTGACTTTAAAACAGGAGAGACTACAAGTCGCAACTGCAAAGCCCCTATGTGCTAGTTAAAATGCGATACTCAGGGTAATTTCAGCCAGAGACTTTTGGACTCGGTTTGTGATAAGAGCCTAAGATTCACAAAAATAAGCTGTATTACAGTAGTTAAAATGGAATTGTGTTTTTGTGTGTTTATATGTAGGTCTTTATCGCCTGCCTTCAGGAGTCAGGAACACAACAGACAAAGGCACAATCATAGCAATTATGACTGTGAATACAAAGGTTTCCGGAAAGATGCAAAGAAGCCTATGCCGTGGAGAGTGGAAGATGGGAAATATGGACAAGCCAGTACTAGATATGCACCACATGACACTAACCACCACCGACTTTATGAATGTAGGTCATATTCACCAACTCTGAAAAGAATCCCTTCGGAAGATATGTACAGTCACAAACCTTGTAGGACACATTCACCAGAAAGGAATGCTGATATCGGAAGATGCCACTTTCCTTCCAGATATCCAGAAATGTCTCGCAAAGAACACAACCATTCTTTTTATCCGTCCAAAACACGTGACAGAGAGATGCATGAAGACCCCCGAGCTGCTGCTGGAAATACAAAAGGGATGAAGACTTTCCATGAGCCATTAGGAACTAACTTTGAAAGGAAGTGGAATGAAAATGACTTGAGGCACCACCAGTTACAAGAAGACAAGTATACTCAATCACCTCGAAGATGTTCTAGTGAATTTATGCCAAGGAGCTCTTTGCAGAAGAGGTAGAGAAATTGCCCAGTTTTAATGGTTTTTTTAAATGGTGTAAAGCCTCAAGTGAAAGTCGATTGTCCTTATAGTTGAAGATTCTACCCTGAAAACCATTTTTTTTGCTAACAGAATAAAACATAGTTTAATTGTGGGCTGCTGGTGGTAGAGCAGTATTGTATCTTTTAAGTTAATCCTGTTGGTGGCTAGCATATAAAAGGATCATAATTTCCCCTCTCTTTAGTGGCTTGAGGGATCATGGGGTGACACATTCTACATAAAGCCTGTGTTTTCCAGCATTCTGCATACGTAAGTTCTCATTTTCTTCCTTACTGCAAGTATAAACTACTTTATGTCAACACAGGTATCCTGAAGATCGTGATAACAGAGAATATGGGCACACGTCTAAAAGGGCTAAAGAATTGGAGAGGTATGATGATAGAGAAGTAGCAAGTAATTCCAAGTGGAAGCAAGATCATTCTTCACTCAACCAAGAAAAGGGAGAGCAAAGAAACCCTGGTCTTCAAACCCATCGGCCTGTTGTAAAGGAGTACAGTGATAGCTGTCAAACAAAGATTACATATGACTATAGTCAGAAACGTCATAGACATCCAGATGGAGGGAAATATATATCTGATGAAAGAGCAGAGAAATATACGAAGCTGGAAGAGAAGAAATATAATTCTCCTAAAGAAGCTTGGAATAGCAAATATTCAAATTACTATAACAGTGAAAGAGTCCGGCACACAGAAGACCCTCATACAGAAGCATCAGTTAAATATATTTCGGGAAAAGGCTGCAATTCATGTGTTAAATCTCACAAAAGTGATGCTGATCTTTTACCCTTTGATCAAAAAGAGAAGGAAAGACTCAGGAAAGAAATGGATTTTAGGGGAAGGAGAGACCAGCATGACACTCACCACAAAATCTCAGATGTAAAAGTGTCTGATGTCCACCACACAAGAAAGGAAAAACTCACAGTCAAAGTGGATATGAAGAAAACCATAAATAAATACAGGTATTGCCTTTTGGATTTTTAAAAACAACATTCATGTTTATGAATGTATAAATATGTCAAGTTGCTTGATCATTATAGTATGGTAGCATTGAGCTCAATTAACAGAACATAAGTGGCTGTGTACCATGTGTGCTTTTGTGTGGTTGTGTGTGTATGTTGTATACATGTATGTATAGATATATATGATATAAAACAGCAGTCCATTGTAGGTCAAGGAAGAGAGTGGAACTTGAGACCAAGGAAAACTAACTTGAGTGTTTGGGCAGTCTAAAGAAGAGTAGGGGTGTCCTGAAGTGCAGCTACTGCTTTCCAAAAGCAAAAAATGTAATTTGGCTTCTGACCAGTTCTGTAGTAGGCCTCTGTACAGTGGTACCTTGGTTCTCGAACTTAATCCGTTCTGGGAGTCTGTTCGACTCCCGAAACCATTTGAAAACCAAGGCACAGCTTCCGATTGTCTGCAGGAGCTTTCTGCACTCAAGCGGAAGTTGCATCAGACCTTCGGCTTCTGAAGAACGTTCGCAAACCAGAACACTTCTGGATTTGCGGCTTTCAGGAGCCAATTTATTCAACAACTAAACCGTTCGAGAACCAAGGTACTACTGTATTCAGAAAACTGAAGGGAGTGGCACAGTCCAGCTGAGCAGCATAACATCTATCCCCTTTGAGAGTTGGGTTGCAAATCCATATGGATAAGTGAAGTTTGAGGTCCCCTCCCTGTGCTGAAAAATTTCAGCATCTCATGGGATAGTCATGTTAGTGGATAGAGATTTAGATAAGGGCAGTGTTCAAATTCTGTTTAAGTTGGCCTTGAGAAAGCCAGTAGCAGTCAAAACAAATATGATGTGTTATCTATTTTTGTAAATTTTTCTTACTTCTTTACAAATGTTTTTCATTTCAAGTCCCTAAGCTCTTTATTTGGAAAGTTTTAGATACCTAATTCCTCATCTCATGGTGCATTTTGTTAATAAGCATGCACTTATTGTTCAGTTTAAAATGTATGTGGTAAGTTGGAATTCAAATAATTTTATGTGGCCTTCTACAAGCCCTCCAAAACATTGTTTGTGGACACCCCCACCCCACCCCTGAGAAACTGCTCCAGAAGATTAGCAAAACTGGGTTCTGCCCCGGTACACTCTCCTGTCTGAGGCTAAGATAAAGGGCAGCTTCTCCCACAATTTCTGCCTTCATTCATCCCTCTCTTGGATGGTGCATCTCAAGTAGGTAGCAGGATGGGATGGGGAAATTGACACAGTTCTTATGCACCCAATTGCTCTAGGTATCTGCATAGGCATTTTTGGATCCTGGCCTATAAGCAGTGTGGTAAGAATTTTCTTCTGCACCACCTTGTTGTCACCCAGGCGAGGGACCACCTTTAAATAAAACATGGAACCAAGGAAGAAAATCAAGTCCGGCACCCAGTTAGGGATCCAGAGTTTATTAGATACTATTGCAGTAGGACAGAGCCCAACTTAATGTGGTTGTTCTAGCCGAACCGCCACTTAAGAAGAAGATTTGCCCAGAGGAAAATCAGAACATAGCTTATATAGTAACTCAAACACAGCACACAAAGAGTCAGAAAACATCAAAGCATTCCTAAACATACTTCTGCATACATCAAAGAAGGTTACAAGTAAAACATGCATGGCTCCATACTAGTAACTTCATGCCACAACTACCTTGGGGTGCCCCTAAGTGCCAAGGCCATTTGGGTCTCGAATGTCCTACTTTATCACTGTTTCCTTAGCAGCCAGGCCTTGGACAGGGCTGTTGACATTCCTGCCCTTTCTTGCTTCCCTTCATCCCCGAGCCATCTCAGGAAGCTTCAAATATATGTTTGGATTCCCTCCCCAGTCCTAACTAGAACAACATCTTTAATGACCATTTGTGCCACCTTCGGGGTTAGATAGGGTTTATTGCTTATGGCCTAGAGAGCACAGGGGTTATAAAATGTAGGCACACAGGAGCCATGCATAAAAGCTTTTCAGTGCTGCATTCTATCTAAATGCCATTAATATTTGAAACATAATTAAATCAAAATATACACCCTGGGTCTCCGATTCTTATATCAGCAGTAGTCAAGAGCAAAATCTAGGGCAAAATGTTCAACATCTTCTCTAGTGTGAGAATCTGTGTTGTAACCTCTTGTGATGCATTATGCTGTAGATTTGTCAAATGGGAGAAAGAAGGGCTTTTCTGTGGGAGGACCCTAAAAGCTCCACTCAGGGACACCAGCAAGTGAGAATGCAGTGTAGCCATTTGAAATACCATGGAATTCCATGCATCCAAGGCAAGGATATAAGGGAAGCACCTCCTTCCTTGGATAGGCTACTCACCAGGAAGAGTAGAGGGTTACAAACTGAAGATGGGAGAGAATCTTGTATGTACCATGTTCAAAAGAAGAGATAAGGCTTCTTCCTAAGATACTGATTTCTAATAGTGCTGAACCAAATGTTTGGGGTCACCATTTTTAGCACAAAATGGTTTTCAGAGAATCCAGAATGATTATTTAAAATTAGGCCCAGTGATGTCACTATTAACAGCAGAATAAGAAAGCAAACAAAAATGGCATTTAAGCAAAAGCTGTCTCCAGCATTTCTGTCCAGACTTAATTTTTGAGTTGTCTTCAGGATGTTATAGGTTGAACTGACTCTTTGTGTTTGCTTTAAAACTTGTGCGTGTGTTGGTTGAGAAAAAGGGTAAGTACTTGAAGTGTTCCTAATATAAAAGTAATATGTTTTACATTATTAAAATCACAAACCTTTCCTTCATTTGTGGAATGCTTAGTTTTACTTTCCTTTTAAATAACCCTTTTAAATGTATTGTTACTGTTATGTTAAATATTTGAGGGAATATTTTCTAAACATGTCTAAATTTATTCCAGGAGCGCGTCTAGTCATATCATGGAGAGGCAGACATCATGTGATCTAGTAGCTGTGGGTAGAAAAACTGAAAAATTCCATCCAGTGTTTGAGCATATAAAATCTGTGACGCAGAAGGTAGAACAAAACCCATCAAAAGAATTTGCTCAGGAAATCATCACAATTATCCATCAAGTTAAAGGTGGTTACAGAGTGTTAGACATGCACATTATCTGTGGTGTAGTCTGCATCTTTGTGTTATCAAATTACTATGAATGTCATTAATCCAAGTAGCTCAGGATGTGTGAAACATCATATGGACTTCACAGAGTTGTGCAAGAATAATCCCTATTTAATGGTGGTACAATATTTTGCAGATTTCAGAGCAAGAAATTAGTAGTTTACCATCATAAATCCACGAAATACTGCTTTCTACTCCTTAAATTAGAAATTTCATGTAGGACCTGTAACAAATTGTGTGCAGTTTGGAGTACTCCTATTCAGGATACTCAGTTGAATTCTGCTACATAGTTTTCCATCCCCCTCCAATGGACAGTCACCATTCTGTGGAATGCTCCGTTTTCATTGGGTTTTTTGGGAGGAGGGAGTTCCCCACTAGGATTTTCTTCCTGAGCCTGAAAACACCTCGCTCCTGTATATGGATGGTGTGATTTTGGCTACATAAGAGACTAGGAGAATTGCAATCACTATTAGTATATATGATTATTAGATTTATCATAAGATTGGCTCTCTGAGCTCTCACAATCTTTGTAAGAAGAAAGGAGAGACGTATTAGTGCTTTTTGGACTGTGAAACAGAGTCCTAGAAAACATTGAGCAATAATAAGAGGCAGTCTCCCTTTCTATGTCATAACTCACGTGTAAGGTCAGTTTTAAATTAAAAAGACTGAACAAAAATATAGTTGCATTTAACAAGTTATGGTCTCTTCAAGTCATATGAGGTTACCTAAACAGAAGTACACTTGAATTCAGGAGAAAATGAAATTATGTACACATGTTCTAGATCTTTTGTCTTGTTGCCCATTTTGAACTTTTTATAAAAAGTAAGTATTGCTTTTATCTTTTGCATTTTGAGGTGTAAGTAATGTTGTTCACATCTTTAGAGGGGCATGTCTTTAGGACCTCAGAGAGTTATTGAGGGGCTGCTGAAGGCTAAATCTGTGGGTGGGATTCACCTAACGAGCTAATCAGTGAAAGCCCTGCTCAAGGATTTTCGTTTGTGCAATTAGGCTTCCCCCTCTCTTGCACAGATAGAGCCATTGGAAGAGAGTAACATGGAATTCCACTCATTATCATTAGCGATAATGTAGAGAGAGAGATATGGCTTTAGAGATACAAAGCCATGAGGACATAAATAACTTCATAGCTTCATTGTCTCCAGCGTGTTAGTTTCAGCACCACTTTTAATGCTGAAATTGCAATGAAAAGGATTAACTTATTTTTCCCTATTTATCCTCTTCACAGCAGATTACTTTAAATCTCCTGATCTAACGTTACATGAGCGTTTCTCAAAAATAGAAGATAAGCCATTGGCAAATGAAGTTAAAAGACATTCAAATCCAGAAATTCACAGGTAAAATAAACGTACATTGGTCCAGTAAAAATCTTGCTCAGTAATTGACAGATCATTTCTTTGCTACCTGGCATGCCTCTCACCATGGTTCAAAGTTCGTTTCCATATCCTGGCTTGTTTAGAAGCCATTAACCATAGCTCCGTGTTCAGATGTAATGGGAACTGTGCTTAGCCACAGCTTGCTTGCGCAAAGGGAGCAAAGAAGTGGGAGCAAAGGGACTGCATGTGCATGCATGAAGTTCATTCATACCTTCACTTTCTATGCTAAGATTTGATCATCAGAGTGCAGTTGTGGAAACTTAGCACACAGAGTACAGCATACATAGGCCTGGCCTATATTTGCTTTTTGTTGGTTAATGACTTTCGTTTATGCCTCTGGAGTTTCAATCCTAATAAACATAAATTACATGACTAGGAATGTATACTGAACATGGTGTTAAAACACAGCATTATCTTGAATATGAATGTGACCAAGCAGACATGTCTTTCCCGTGTGCATCAATTCCTGGCCTCTGATTTTTGGACCCTCTCCCATTACTCCCATAGTCCATGTCAATATTTCCCAATCTAGTGCCTTACCACCCGCACCACTAGCACCAGTAAAACTCCTAGTAGCTCAATGGTTGTAAAGATGCATTATGCAAGTATTTTTGTACTGCCACCCATACTTGCGTTGCTCACTAACCACACCTACCCCCTGCCAAACTTCCTTTGCTAACCTCCCACCCCTTCCTTTTACACGTCACCCAATCATCTCACAGCTCCTTCAACCTCCTGGGCCACCCACTTGCCCACTGTGCCACCCTCCTCACTTGTTTGGTTGACCGGCTTAGCTCACTTGCTCTGCCTGCTGTTAGCATCCTACAGTTCACACGCCACATAAACTGCAGCATGACTTTTTTCTTATACAATATTATATAGTAAGATAATTCAGTTCCTATTGAAGTTAACTTTCTTGCTTCCATTTGACCCTCTTACTGATGCTGAATGATATGCTCATTACACCAGGAGAATCGATATGTCTTTGGCCGAACTTCAGAAAAAAAGAGCTGTTCCATGCAAATCTGAGCAGGTATGTGTATTTTATTTTTGAATGTAAGAAAAGTGTATTTTCAGTGACAGTATTGTAATTCTAAAATGTCTTCATATTTTAAAGTGGTGTAGACTAACCTAAATAATTTGTACCGGATGGATATATATATATTTAATTTACTTACATTTATATCCCATCCTTTCATCAAAGATACCAAGGAAGGGTTTGTGATTCTCCACATACACATAGGTGCTCCCCCACCCACCCAAACAACCCTATGGAAGTATGTTTTGTTGAGAGAGAGTGCCTGGCTCAACGTCAAGTGAGCTTAATGGCTGAATGAGGATTTGGACCTGGGTCTTCAAAGCCCTAAATCAGTGGGGACCAGTGTGATGCCCTCCAGATGTTAATGGAAACATCTCCCATCATTGCTGCCTGGGTCTGATGCGCATTGAGTTCCAGCACCATCTGCAGGGCACCCTGCTCTAAACCACTAGACCGCATTAGAATCTTGGGTCAGCATAATCTGTGACACTGATCTCTAAAATTTGAAGCTCTTTGTTTTGTTGGTTTATTCTTCTAATACTAATCTTGTTCATAAGAAAAATAAAAGTGAACTGTATCATTCTGTAAGCCATTTATTGTTTCTTTAGAGCGTGATGAGAGTTCTAGAAGATCCAAATGATCTAAGATATGACATTGAGAGAAGAAGAAAAGAAAGATTGCGGAATGAAGATGAGAACAATTTTTATATTGATGGTGCATCGCATAGGTAATTGTGTTCAAATAACAGGTTGCACTTTTAAGTTCTGTTGCATTATATGAACTTTAAAACATATTTCATTTTAGAGTATTTTTTTCCCCTTTCCCCTCATCATTTTCAATGTAGCACTCAAAGACACTTCAGAAATCCTATGGTTTTAATTTTCTATAATGTATTTAAAGGATAAATTAAACTTAGCTTTGCTTTTGGCAATAATCTTTAGGTCCTCCTTTCCCTGATGCAGTATATTGTATATGTTAGTCCCAATAATAATAGAGATGAGGATGAGAAGTCAAACTAGTTTAGATGCTAAACTGTCACCATGCTATGTTAGGCTATGTGAGAGTAATGATGGACATAGGGTGTAGAAAAGTCTACTCATTTATTCCTTCCTTTCATCTCTAGCATGAGCTCAAGTAGGACTATACAGAAGGTTTTTGCTTTCTAGCCACACAGCCCATTAGAGATGTCTCTTGCCTTTGGTGGTATGGTTAAACTTTGAGTCAGAAGTCTGAGGGTGGAGCTCTCATTATGCTTGCTTCTATTTGTCTGGCTGTCAAAGCCAGATGATGCCCACTCTGCCTGTAATCCCATTCTGCCAAGCAGCATCTTCTGGATCTCATCTCCCTCCGAACTAGTCACAGTTTTCCATGAGCATTTTCTCTCCCCATTCATGTATTCTGGAGGACAGCTGTTACTCTTTGGTCATCTCTACCACATGGGAATTACAACAAGAAGAATGATGATGTGCATGATGCATAGAGACAGGAGCGAGACACTGACTCTTATTGTCTGTCTTCAACACCCTTTTCATCAGTTTACCAAAAAAATATGAATCATACTATTTTGCAGTACCTAAAAGATAATGTAGCTAATTGGCTTTATGGAGTGAAGTCCTAATTACATTGCTAACTGTGTATATATAGGGATGCTGGTATTGAATATGGTAATTGCAAGTGTGCAGTCTCTTCTATGACGAATAATTCAATATTCTGGGATGCTTTAGTTTTTTAAAAAAGTTTTGTAACCCATATTGATTTGAGGATAATTTTGAAAATGTATGGCTGATTTTTCTGAGAGTTTGTGATGCTTGCGGTCGAATGAACAAGTGGACCTGGTATGCATATAACCAATCTTGTCTGTCTTTAGATTCCCTGTACCCATTCTCTTGGCCCCATCCTGTTGCTATTATTTCTTGGTCTTTTCTCTGCAAACGTTCTGTCTGTGCTCTTCGCCTTTCCCTCATCCTTATAAATTTTCAAATGGTTAAAACGCTGGATTTTGGAAGTCTTATTTAATTAAGTTGTTTACTGAAAATTTGGTTTAGGTGGTATAGGATTTTAAAATTTCACAGTCCACATAGCCTTGACCAACTGTGACAGCAGCGCAAAGCAATATATCTCTTCAGTCATAGTGTTTGCAAAGTGCTGTCTGGCAAAGCTGTTCTGGGTGATGTATGGCCTGGTGAACTCTGGATGTCTCTGCTGGAAGATGAGTCATTCTTGGCTCTCTTTACTGAATTTGTCACCTATTTCGTAGACCAGATTACTCAATATTTAAATAAAGTTAGATCTTCTAATTGAATACAGAGTGTGAATTCACAGTGTCAGGAATTTAGCCTGGCTTTATTCGTTGAGATAATTTTAAGTCATTGTTGCATCCAGTGAGCATATAGTGCTCAGGGGTACGTGACTGACTCAGAATAGTTCTGGCTCACAAAGGCCTTTTGGAAGAAGCAGAATTCTTTTATCAACTCCAACCATTTGCCACTTTGTCTGCAATGCTTCTCTGCACTTGGACACTCTCTCCTTTTTAAACCACTAGTTTTTCTGGCTTTCAGCTTGCACATGGTACTGAGAATCTAATGCTCCTATTTTATAATCTCTGCCTAGCATAATTGGAATAATTGTATCCTGTTGACCCTCTTGCATCTTTCATTCCTTTAAAACCTCTAGAGAAGATTACTGTAATGTAAGTGGCTGCCCACAGAGACGGCTGGGATGCTTCAGCAAGCATAAAAATAGTGGCCCATTTTCTGACCAGATGAATTGCCAAGATCCCAGTTCCTTCTACCTGTTTTCCATTGTGCTCTCTTTTGATCTACTGAGAATGCCCTGTGGAAATTGCTATCCATGTGGTACATCCACTCCCATGAAAGGATTCTCAGTGGCTACCTCACTATTTAAGTGTCCTTCCTCACAACATTCCCAAATAGGAGGAACATCAGTAAGTGCTTTAAAACCTTATAGAAACTGGCTTTCAGTTGCCAGCATTATTTTGGTGGGTACTACGGTTTACATTTGATATTTTCTAGAAATATCTTTTTGTTTGTTCAGTATCTGGCCAATTGTGTTTACAGATTTAAGACATATCACGTAAATATTTGGTAATTCCCCAATTTTATGCATTTGAAGCAAAATACAGCTTTTCATTCTTGACAGTTTGGGGACTTCATATAGAACTCTGTAAAACTGATGCATCCAAACTTAATGGGAATAATGCAGAGAAAAAAGGATTTCATCCTAGGTATTTGCATAAATACTGTTGTGATTTTTCACAACTTGCAGTTTGCAATCATGCAGAAACATTTAATTTCGGCATAAAGAATGTGGCACAGGCAAGGATGCTTTGTATATATGATATTTGTTGTGGAAACCTATGGCTTTCCATGAGACTCTTCCCTCTTGATTGCTTGTTTGTGTCTGAAAAAGTGTCTGTTTATGAGAAATGTCTTCAGCTCTCAAAAATGTAAGTTACCCATAGTAACCAGAATACACATTAATTTTTTTTAATGGGTATTGGCTGTTATTGATTCATCCAACAGAGAACATGCATTGTTTTTATATTTCTCCCCAGTCAGGTTATGAAGGCTTCATAGCAACATACTCGAGAGTTACCTTGGGTTTATTTTAGTGACCTTTACATTCAGTACTGTGCATTTTTGTTTGCATGGATATTTTATTTCATTTTATTTTATCCTGTTTAGTCATAAAAACCTAAGTGGTTTATGTAAAACATACATTAATATTACTGATAAAATCAGATATTTAAAACAAGCTAGCTTCATTTTCTTCAAAAACAACCATTTTAAAAATACACATTTAAAAATTACATATTAAAATACATGCCAAATTTTCATGTCAAGGTAGACTTGCTTAAACAAAAAACTTTAGCAGGGATTGAAAACAGTGCACCGAATGTGCCTGCTTGATATCAATGGGTAGGGAGGATTAGCCTGGCTGGCTGGTGAGCTTATGATCATGGATTAAATATATATATATATTGGTTATTTGATCCTAATTTTAAAATGCTGTGCTGTTTGACATGGCATCATTTTAGTTTTCACAGCTTTTAATATTGTGTTTGTTTAGGGATGAACAGAGTAGTAGCTTTCCAAAATTACGAAACACTCAAATGTATGGATTCCAAAAACCTGGGAGATTCCTAAGACCGCCTTTCAGGAAGTTTATTCGGAAGCCTCACATGGTAAGTTGAAATTATTATTACTTGAACACAGTGTCTGACTATTAACTTGGTTCTTTATCAGGTAGTCAGGGATGCATTTTTGTAGCCCATTAAAAGCTGCAAACACTAACAAGGCTTATCTTGTCCCCGGATATAATTTTTTTGAGGAAACCCCCAGTTTAAGTTATTTTCAGGCTGTACAATATAAAAAATATATATAATGAATGACTGAGTCACTACAAGCTGGTACTTTTTATCTGTATTTGGATACTTTTTACAACTTGGTTGTTTTCAGGTTGTACAGTTCAATAGTAAACAAATTGTGGCTTGATAACCAACAGAAGTTTCTACTCTCCAGCAGAAATATACTAAAAGTTCCTCTGAAAATGGGTTAAGAACTTTCCTCTTTCCACAGAGCCAGCACAGCCCTAACCTACTCACTTTCACATTCATATATAAATCCAGCTTGAAAGGGAAAAGCATATAAGGCAGAGCAGCAAGACTCCATCTCCCCACGTCTCATTTTTTGCATGATTTTTCTTCGAAATTAAACTTTGTCACCAACTCCCTTGCAAATGTAATGTGCACAATTGAGAACACAGTCTCTCACCCACACACTTCATCAACAAACAAAAAAACAAAATTATTCCTGGTTTCTCCTAATCCTACCCTAGCAGTTCTTGAAAAAATAATTTTCTGCTCAACTCTCCAGCTTGCTTGCTTATTTGTTTAGGTATTTTGGGGCCATCTGCAAATATCTGCAGAGGAGATTTCTAAAATACATTGTACAACATCTATCTCAGGTCGGCTCTATTCTTGGCACCCGTCCCTACATAGGGCATAAGTTGTCCCTCAGCAGGAATCTTTTCAAGACCAGGACAGAAGACCAATAAACCATTGTTTTGTTGACAGAAATCTGCTCCCAGGTCCCCCCCCCTTTCCTTGCAGCAGCAGCTCTTGGCTTTTGTTTGCTTGTTTTCAATCTGCCCAAAGCCATTATAGAGTGGCTCAGGTGAGCTAGGGATGAGCCACAGCTGCTTTTTTCCTCCATGATAATCATGAGAGGGTGGGGAAGAGAAGAAGCCAAAAATGGAGGCAGCTCTTACTCTGTAGCTGAGGGATTTGTAGAGAGCCAGCATGGGGAAAGGAGATGGAACCTGCCGAGGCTACGATGAGCAGCAGAAAAGCTTGTACAGAAAAGGAATTTAAGAAATGGTCTGGCTGACTCCCTTTTAGTTAGCCAGTTAGGAGGCTGGCAGAAATAGTGACTCAGAAGCAGCAGTTGGTCTGGCAGTTGAGTTTGCTGACTTAGTTGAGGAAATGCCAGCAGATGTTTTAAAAGAACAAAATACCACAACTGCTTCTTGCTGGAGGTTAGTCATCAGATTTAAATCATGGTTGGTATGGGGAGAGTGGCAACAATATTCAGTGATGGCTGAGACACCCCCTTTCTAGTGCTTAAGTAGTAGTCTCCCTGCTTTCTAGAGCAACAAATATTACTGCCCTTCTCCACTGCAACAGGACTCTTCTCTTCTAGCCCTGCTTTGTTTGTTTGTTTGTATGCCACCCTATATCTGGAGGTCTCAGGGCACTTCACAGGATAAAATCATAACATAGAAACACAAAATACACAATCTATATAAAAACAAAAACCACCCAATAACCCCCACATTCATTGCAGATGAATTATTACCTTTGAATCAAGTTCAGGGTTATACTGTAAATGCCCAAATGTTGTTGGTTCACTAATTGATTATCTAGGTAGGCAAAAAATGTTTGTAAACTCACTTGCAATGGACACCTAAACAAAGAAACATCTGATTCTGGAGTGTACCCTCTCCTGTGTTTCTGTGCAACTCTTGAAGAAAAAAGTTGTAAATATGCCAGAACAAGTCACATGGGCAGATAGATAAATGAAGGAAGATAATCGTACTGGCAGATGGAAGAGTTGTGAAATAGAAAAAGGGAGAGGCCATGTTGTCCCATAGCACATTGCACAATTACACCTACACACAGTTGTATGTCACTGTTTTAAGGGGTGTCAGTATTACAAAATAGTTGCACGGGCTAAAAAAAAGAAAAACTTGCATTTCTGGTCATAACCACACAAAAGAGAGTATTTTATTTCAAAATATATATTTATATGGCTGCCACTAGCTTATATTTCTTGAGCAAATATAACCTAGACTTCTTCGCACATCATGATAAGCCAGTATTCATGGCATAACTGTGAACAAGCAGATCTGCTGCTGCACACTTCTGAATTTTCCCCATTTTGTTCCACCCTGCCCAGAGCCCAGGAGCAACATGTCACAAGCTTTGCTTTAGCACTTTGTATGAACCAGCACTAGTAGTGCACTAGTTTCTCTGCAAATAAGCCACAAGTGGAAGCAAGAGATTTTGGGGAGGAACAAAATGCAAGCACTGGTTCAGAAGCCAAGGCTCATGGTTTGTTGTTCCCCGATCCAGGCAGGGTGGGGCAAAATGGAATAGATTCAGCACTGTGTACTAGTGCAGTCCTTGCTCATGGTAAGTCATTGCCATGTAATGCAACCCCCTACATTAAAGAGCAAGCTAATAATGAAAAGCATTAATAAAAGCAGTAAAACACGGCATAAAACTTTTTAATACAGAAAATAGCTCAGTAGCATATTATCACAAACCTTGGCTCTTCTGTTGTTTCTCGTATCCCATATCAGAGTCTATATAATGGACAGAAATACTGAAATGTTAATTGTAGTTAACATTAGCTACTATGCAGTGTGACTAGCCAAAGGATATCAGTTGGATAATCCTTGGTCGATGAAAATAATTTCTTTACCAATCCAGTAGTGGACTTAAATGTATGCCAAGAAAGGCATGGAAATTATGAAGCATAGCACCATTTAAAAGTTTGCTTTCCCTGTGAAACAGTTTAAGTAGTACATTCTACACAGACGTCATTGGGGTCAGCAGTACTCAACCATGTAAAGTTTAAAAACCTACATAAATCCACAGCTTTTGTGACTTTTAAAGTATTTTGCCAATAATTTATGTATAACATAACAGTTGCACAAATATAACAGTACAATAATAGTGAGTGGGGAATTGCCAGTAACAATAACAGCAAATCTCACAATGTATCATGTGCTGCTTTAGGAACACATGTCAGTCACTACATGTTTGGTGGAGTTAGGGTATGGTTGCTTGAAAATATTTGCAGATGCATCAGGGGTCTCAGTGACCCCAAAAGCCAGATGTGCAAGTTTTATGCAGAATGATAGCTATGATTGGGGGAAAGAAAGGGTTTTTTTAATTCATGGCTTCCTTGGAAAATATCTGAGTCCATTACTAGATTGGTACAATCCATCTTCTGAGTCACAAGGAAGTGGGTTAAATGGTTTTTAAAATTCAGATTAAAATGCAGATTTTGTGAACCTGTGGAACACTATTGATCCCTGCTGGCTTTTGTGGTGGTGTTATGGTAAGTGGGTAGTTGACCTATAATAAAAAATATAAATATAAATATAAATAATTTCTACCCCACCCATCTGGCTGGGTTTCCCCAGCTACTCTGGGCAACTCCCAACAGAATTAAAAGTACAATAAAACATCAAACATAAAAAACTTCCGTAAACAGGGCTGCCTTCGGATGTCTTCTAAAAGTCAGATAGTTGTTTATTTCCTTGACATTTGATGGGGGGGGGTGTTCCACAGGGAGGGTGCCACTACCTACTCTGAAAATGGACAGATACCGTGTGTTTACCCTCTACAATGCTTTTTCACACAAAATAGACAGAACAGGTTTTGAACTAAATATGTGTAGACATGATTAGCAGCTAATACATTTAAACAACATTTGGTGGGTCATTTTTAATCCTGGGACCTTTATTTGGCTGGTTTCTTTGGTTTTCTCATTCATCCTTGTTCAATAATTGGGGGGGGGGGAATTCAATTAGCAATAACCGCGCCTCGGATTAACCTCATTGACTACGATACTGCCACTGCGCAAAGCTACATTCATCCTTAAAGAGGTTGAACTGACCCCCCCCCAAAAAAAATGCTGTAAGAGCAAAAGCTCACTAAATTAAAACACCACATGGCAGTTTGCACCTCATTGTTTAGGTATACCAGGAACATCGAGAGTTGTGGAAGACTGACACAAATGTTTTATGAATATTTTGGGGAGTGCATTAGACCCCAGCTGTTGATAGAAGGTTAAACTGTTAGGAATAATTATTCTTCATAGTTATTTCACATTTTGCTAGAGTCATGGAGAAGATAATGTAGCTGGAGCTTGAGTATCAAAAAAGGAAAGCTATTTGCAGCTAGGAGTGGGGGTAAGGTGGGCTTGAAGAAGGCCTTTCAAAAGTAATCAGGGAAAATAAGGATAATTCTAGATGCTACATTCACCATGGAGATTATTTGTTCAGAATATCTGTTCAAAGGTGCATTCATAGCACTATTTAATAAACATTGGCTACTCACTTGGTCCTCTTTTATAAATGCTGCAAGGATTGTGTGTCATCTAAGACACATAGAACAAAAAATGCCATGACAAACCCCTCCAAAGAGTATCAGTAAGTCATTTAGGCTGCTTCAGAAACAAAAAATGGTATTATTGTCACTTAACGTAAACCATTAAATCCACAGAGAGGGTGTGTGTGTGCAACTTTACAATACCTGTTTCAGTTATAATTGACAAATTACAGTATAATTCATAAAAAATTTGTAAGAGTTTAAGTGTGCAGATGTTTAGTGTAATTTTCTTTTAATGCAGAATCATTATTATACTTCAAAATCACATGGTGATATTGCACATGATCGGTTTGAAGACAATACTGAACATCATGAAACATTTCGAAGACCCTTCAAGGTATGAATTCTAATTTTGCTGAATTCTAATGGAGTAGCAGAATTCATTTCTCTCTCTCCCACACCCCCTTTCCAGGTTGCAGTATCTGTTTATCTACATTTGAAAGATTGCCTTGCAATAGAAAGAGCAATGTCATTGTCTTATGAAAAGCCATTGTTTATGCCAGTTGCAGGAACAATTGCATTATAAACAAAGATGCCGTGTATCTCTTCCTACCTGTTGAAAGCGTCAAGCTGTACATGGATGAATTAGTTTCTACTAATAGTAGGAAAGAAAGTAATTAATTTAATCTAGAACAACTTGTTTCTCTTTTATTGCATTTGGACACTGTTAATTAAGATAGAGTTATTGTTTCATTTGCAAAATATTGCTTTTACACTATTTGGCATCCTCTTCATTTGTTATACAAGATGCACAAAATTGTTGATTAGTTCTGGGAAGGTGTTGTGCTGCACATTATCTCTTGGCTACACTGCCTGTTTTCAAAACGTGCTGTGAAAATAGATTGTTTTTGTAAGGCTAAGCTTATTCTCCACCCCCACACCTCTACCTTCACCCCCGAAAAAGGAAAGAAAAATATGGATTTGAAAGTATGAGATAGATGAGAGAAGAAATCGGCACAGTCGATCCCCTTTTGCTTCATTTAATCATCAGAAGCAGCTTTGATAAAGGAGCAGTGTATTCTCAGTTTTTTGCCTGGATCCAAAAGAAAATATCCAGATTTATTGACATTTGATAAATGGGCATATCCAGTATATGGATGTATCACTGGGCATCTGTTCTACTGTTTGTATTGTGTTGAATTATAAGAGACTTAGAGATGCATTTTATAGAGAATTAATTGCATTTAAAATTCCTAAACTTGGCATGTTTTGAAAGTTTTTTCCACTGTAACATGTGAAGATGGTTTGTGGTGCTGTATTGAGTCTTAAAGGGGAAAAGATCAGTATCTTAAAAAAATACATTATACAGTAATATGTACACTTTAAAATTATTGACTATCAGATTAAAGGGTCAGAATTCTGAAAATTGTTAATATGGCCATTCCTTTTCTTCTCTAACAGCCCCACTTTAGTGATGGTCGGCCCCACTTTAAATCAAACTTAGTACAGAAGGGTTTATACATACAGGCTAAATACCAACGATTACGTTATGCTGGGACAAGGGGATTTACCACTAACAAATTTAGAGGAGGATTTTTGAGGAAAGATAAGGTGAGTGGATTTTTACGTCGATCCCGGAATATGCTGCTTTTATCTTTAAACGTTTTGTATGCAAGTGTTCACACTGTACCTCCTTCTGATTACTGAATGCATTCATTTTGTGACAGTTGTAGTCTGTCCTTTCTCTAAGAAGGTCAGAGTGGCATTTTAGTTTCACTGCACTGTGAGGCAAGTTAACTTGAAAGATGATGATCCCAGGCTCCCTAGTTTGCTTCATGGCAGCTAGCTGCTCACTGCTTAAAGTAGTATGCAGGAATAGAAAGACCTTGTCCTGACCCAGGAAGGCAATTATATTTTTGTTGCAGAATGAGTATTTAAACCTGAGTATCCCATGCCCAATCTGCCACTGGATATAACGTTAAGGGTCTCCTCTTCACTCCAGGAGCAGAGGAAGTCAGCTTCTAATGCACTCCCCTGCCACATTACTTTCTCCAATAGGGTCAGGAGGGTCAGCTACCATTAACACAGTTGCGCAGCACAACAACGAAAGGCATCTATCATTTCCTCCCTGTCAGCCTTGAAGCTACATGCTTTAACTAATGAGAACAGTGCAGGCGTCTATCCTCTGGAAATCTGTCCCTGAAAAAGGAAGCAAAATAGGCAGCCCGCACTGCCCAACTGATGAATTCAGTGGGACTGGTGGAGCACACATCCTTTTTCTGTTTCCTCCCCTGTTTAACAGCAGGGCGAGATGCAGAAAGAAACCGGGGGGGAGGGGGGGAATGGGACGACGAATCTGCATTTAGCTCTTCATTTGCCCATGTGCATAAACACAGTGCAACTAGGGTGACTTGTACTCTCTCTCCTCCCTGAGGCAGATAGCTTCCTTGCCAGAAAATGGTCTGATTTCTCTGTGTCTCTTAGCTATGCTTAGAGAGACAGAGGTAATGTGTGTCCACTTAACCAGAGCACACCTTTCCTCATGGAACAGAACTCAATTCCAGATGAATGAGTCTGTTTCCCTCTTTCCATCCTCACCTCCTTTTCGTTCCCGGAAGTAGAAAGCAGTCTCCCCTTTCCCCTTTCCTGTCCCATGGAACTTGGAGCTTCAGAAGCAGCATTCTCTTGAAACACTGGATAAATTAAAATGTGGATTAACTCTTTGTTACAAAAACTTACTTCCGTATAATAACATATATTTCTCCTTAAACAGGGCCTGGAAATCTGAGCTGCAGTACTGAAGGCGATATCTCTGATTGTGATAATCGTTGCAAGGGAGCATCCGATTGCATTTGTCAAGAACTGAAATGGGAAAAGCAAAACTAATACTTTAATTTTTCTTGATAAAGATAATTTTATTTTTCATTAGTGGGATGTTGCAGAACTTTTTTACAGTTTTAATAATGGCTTTTCGAATACAGTTTTCAACTGAACATTGTAGGGTTGCTCCTTTTACTTCCTCTTGCCGGCAAGTCAGAGAAAAAAAAACCCTGAAGGGAGTCTTTATTTATTGAATATTTCCCCCTCACTCTAAGCATGGTTTTATTACTAGACATTGAGTTGTTATACACAGAAGTTTATATGTTTAAAGTTTATTTGCTTATATAATAAAAATCAAAAAGTGCCCATTGCCATGAGTTTCTTATGATTTCTCTAAGCAGTTACTTTTGAATTGCTAAAGCTCTGCTCACCTGGAGGTTTTCTTAATACTGAGTACAGGAATAGCCAATGTGGTCCCCTCCACAGGTTGTGGGACTCATCTCCCATGAGCCCTAGCCAGCATGTCCAGCAGTAAGGGATGTTAAGAGTTGGAGTCCAACAATATCAGTAGGATACTATGTTTAATAAATTTGGTTACATTCTGTTACGCAAAAATGAAATTTGCCGGAAAACCTCTAGCCAGCTCAGAGCTGTTGAAAAACCAGTAGAAAATGTGGATCACAGAGTGCATGTGGATGACACCCAACATTTTGCAAATGGTCTTTCACTTGTGCAACAGTCCTTTTTTTTTTTTTTTTTGCACCCTTCCTCCAAATCTATTCTGCAGTATCCCCAACCTTAGATCAGATATGTGGAAGGTAGAGGGACTTTAGTGGGAAGATGGAATAGATTCCACCGGTGGTATCCATTCTGTAGACAGATGAATAATGGTATTTCAAACCTTGTTGCAATGGAGTAAGTTTGTAACTTGGATCACGGAGGCTGCATGATGTATGTATTACTTTTGTAATAGCGAATGGTGTCTCCAGGTTCCCAAAGTGCTACACTGAGTACAACTGTCTAATAATGCTTTCATAGAATTATGAACTGTGGCATGTCACAGCACTGAAAGCTGCAGGCATCCCCATAAGCTCCAACCCTTCATTCACAGCCTCTTGCTTAAACTCAAACCAAGGCCATTTGAAAAAACGAAGATGTTGGGAATAAGAAGAGCTGCATGTGGTTACTACATTGCAATTCATGACTAGTGTATTGTGGGGCAATGGATACAAATCAGAATATGAGTAAACAACTGAAACTTGTTGCATCTGAAATAAAAGTAAAAGACAGGAAATCACTGTGAGAACAAACATAATTTCACAGAACAGAAGGTAACATTACTGGGTAATGAGACTTCAATTTCATTATAGTGAGCAGAAAAGATAGGCCCTAGAAGCCAAAAAAAGGCACACCTGTTTTCTTTTTTTAATCAGAAGGATGCAGATGGTGATATAAGTTTTTAGGATATGACAGTTAAAATTCTGGAGTGTATATCACAGAAGTGCTACTGTACTATATTTCATAGGCTCATGTATTTTCAGGAGATAATAAAGCACCTGTCTGTTTTCTGTAGCAGATAATCTTTTATTTCAGGTGATTTGTCTGGTAACACTGGTTAATGAAGTAGGAGGCCTCTGAGCTGCTTAATTATTATTTTTTAAAGTTTTTTAGGAGTTGGGGAAATAATAAAATACAAATATTTCCCCCCGCCTCTTTAATTTTTGCAGATGTATAAAGTACTGAATGTAAAAAGCGGTAAAAAGGCTCTGTACAAATGATTGTTTTTCTGCAGTTGTTGGACAAGCTGTACCTGCCAAAATGCTCTCTTCTATACAACGACTGTTAACCATAGAAGAACAAAATTCTGCACTTACACTTCCTGTTCTACCGGATCTGTATGCCAGAGTGTCTTCTCACAGTAACAAAAGGAGGTTGCAGTTAGCCAGATCTAAGCCTTGTAAGTTTCTTCCCTAATTATAATACATTATAGGTTTCTTTCTATCATAACAGAACTGAGTCTATTCATAACAACTGTCACCGGTGCCTTTTTATCACACATGTGGCCTATTTTTGTTGAGTTTCTCTATAACACAATCTTTTTAAAATCTTTCCATTTTAAAATAAGTGAGCTGTGAAGAATCCAGGTCTACATATAACACATTTATCCTCCACAAAATACAATTCTGAATTCTTATGTGCAAAGTTCTGATAATTAATTGAAGCAAGTATGCTACCAACAGATGGGAAAGAGAGAGCTTATTAGGCCTTTAATTTAGATGGTGATGATTAATCCCTAGCTATCTGTACTATAAACATTTCTTTACTTCAGCATCTCTTAAGGTGTATTTTGATGTCATAAGAATGTAAAAGTGGGATAGTGATGAATTTCATTGCTGATATGTTATTTATGCAGTCCCATGCTGTAAATGATCCATGCTGTGATTTTAACCTTCTTTGAAGGTTTTTTGGATTTCTAGGAATGGCTGTGGCAGCTGTAATAGTATAAATGCAAACTATTTTATTCCCCAAGCCTTTAACAATTAGGCATTTATTGAGTTAATAGTTAAACAGGATCAAGCTTTAAGGCCTTTTTTAAATTTACAAAATCTGCAAAAATGTGATAATATAAATGTATGCACAGTATACCAATGAGAGGGGAACTGTCCCCAGAAGCATGTGATATGCCATTGCTGAAAATAAGAAGCTGGGCTAAAGGGACATTTAGTCTGATCCAACAGATCCATTCTTAGGTTAGGTTCTGGTTCTTGGCATGATATCAGAAGATGAGATGGTGAAGGCATATGGACCTTCTCACTCCTATCTGTCATTTATAACTAGGAGGGCTCGGCCCCTCTGCTCACCGCCATCTCTCACCACCCCCACCCCATATAGTAACACCAAAGACCTCCTTTCCAACCCATGGAACTATTACACCCCCTTTTCAGTACCCCAGCTCTGTTTCTGAGGTGTCCTCTCTTGGGACTGGCACTTTTAAACAATGACAGAGATTTGAGTAAAGCAGGGGAAGCAGGATTCTGAGGAGTTGCCTTTTTAAAGAAAACAAGCAAGGATAAATAGAGATTGGCATAACACAGAAGCAAGCACCAAGAAATTCGCACAACAGAACCTTTCCCAACTCCCTTCTCACTGTACTCAAATCTTTTTTTAAACTACCACTTTCCACCCCTCAGTGATCACTCTACTGAAGCCTCTGCCATTGTTTACAATCACAGTTTTTCCTCCTTTCAGTTTCCTTCCAAGGATGTGGAGCCCTCAAGTATTCCACTGTATGAATGCTTTCTTTACTCAAACACCTGTTGTTTTAAGCCACCACTTTTCACCTGTCAGGGTCCGTTCCTCCTCACTCTCATGCCTTGGCCATTATAACTGGTCTACTCTTTTGCTCCCCTTCCCAATCCTGACTTCATTCAAATCCAGGTTTGTGATGCAACACTACAAATCCTCCACTGGGGGCTGTGTGATGACAGCATGATATTTTTATGTATACAGGGAGATGTAAGCTAAGTACCAGTTTGCTTGCTGCTGCTTCTAGTTTGGTTACACCACACTTCTGCAAATGTAAGGTTCTACACTTAGGCAGGAAGAACCAGTGGCACAAATATAAGATGGGGGACACCTGGCTTGCCAGTAGTACATGTGTAAAGGATCTAGGGGTCTTAGTAGACCACAAGATTAACATGAGTCAACAGTGTGATGCAGCAGCAAAAAAGAAAAAGCTAATGCTGTTGTAGTCTGCAGCAATGGAATTAAGAGTCCCAATCAAGGGAAGTCATAGTCCCGTTCTGTTGTTTAGTCATTTAGTCGTGTCTGACTTTTTGTGACCCCATGGACCAAAGCATGCCAGGCACTCCTGTCTTCCACTGCCTCCCGCAGTTTGGTCAAACTCATGTTAGTAGCTTCGAGAACACTGTCCAACCATCTTGTCCTCTGTTGTCCCCTTCTCCTTGTGTCCTCAATCTTTCCCAACATCGGTCTTTTCCAGGGAGACTTTCTCTTCTCATGAGGTGGCCAAAGTATTGGAGCCTCAGCTTCAGGATCTGTCCTTCCAGTGAGCACTCAGGGCTGATTTCCTTAAGAATGAATAGGTTTGATCTTCTTGCAGTCCATGGGACTCTCAAGAGTCTCCTCCAGCACCATAATTCAAAAGCATCAATTCTTCGGCGATCAGCCTTCTTTATGATCCAGCTCTCACTTCCATACATCACTACTGGGAAAACCATAGCTTTAACTATACGGACCTTTGTTGGCAAGGTGATGTCCCTGCTTTTTAAGATGCTGTCTAAGTTTGTCATCACTTAGAACAGGAATAGCCTCATTCTATTCTGCCTTAATCAAACCCCCACCTGGAGTACTGTATATAGTTCTGGGCACTACAATTTAAAGAGGATATTTACAAGCTGGAACGTGGGCAGAGGAGGGTGACCATGATGATCAAGGGTCTGGAAAACAAGCCTTAAGAGGAACAGTTGAGGGAATGGGGTATGTGTATCTAAAGGATTGTCACGTGGAGGATGGAGCAAGCTTGTTTTCTCCAGCTTCAGAGCCTAGGACCCAAACAAAAGGATTCAAGTCACAAAATACAAGATTCCTACTAAACATCAGTAAAAGCTGTTCGACAGTGGAACAGTTTCCCTCAGAAGGTGATGAACTCTCCTTCCTTTTAACCAGAAGGTTTTAGGCAGAGGTTGGATGGCCACCCCTCATGTATGCTTTAGTTGAGATTCCTGCATTGCAGGGCGTTGGACTAGGTGACCCTCGGGATCCCTTTCAACTTTATGATTCTATGATTCACTTTTTCCCTATAGAAGTGATTAACTATGTATGAGAGAAAGAAAAGAACTTCATTTGGAAATAGTGCTTGATAAGGAAAAACTTGCTTCTTGGACTTAGAAGCAATAGTGATGGGGTAAGCTCTGCCTCCAATAGTATTCCTTAAAGTGTGTAAGAGGTCAATGTGCCCTTTGCTTTGGAAACACATAGTGTGATTTCCTCATGGACATCTTGCACCTTGATTACTGATGTAGTTAACATAACCCAACCCCAACTCCCTTCTCACTGTACAGTGTGCAGTGTGTCTTTGTGTCCTCTAGAGGGCCACCTCACACTAAAAGAAAATTGCTCAGTGTGATCCACATTCATTTCCTCTGCTTTTCAGGGTCTTTGCAAATCATGGATCTTCCTCACTTTCTGTTATAATAGACACACCAGTAACAACAGAAAAGATGCACAGGATGCCAGCTTCTTGCCTTGCTATTAACCAGCAATCAGGACTCTTTGTCACAGCAGCAACGAGAACAAAGGTACCTGCTGCTTTTCTTCCCCACCCTTCCACCTTCAGATTAGTTTATAAATTGTAGCCAGACCCATATTGAGGCATGGCCCAGATATAGCCTAGCCCTGGTTAGGAAGATCCCCCCACCCCATTATGAGGTGGCAAGGGTTTTGCTGCTTCTGACATTGATTGCAGCAGCGTGGGGACCAGGCTTAACCGCACTATCCCAGCTGACCACATGTGAAAAGCTGGGATTCTGCAGTTGGAGAGCCTAGCCCTTGCACCACTGCAAATGAGCTGGTGCCCTCAGGGACTGGCAGGGTGGGAGGCAGGGAGGCCAACAGCAGATGGAGCCAGAGCCAATGGCAGGCAGAGCCAACTCATTCTGGTTGGTCCCCCCATGCTCCTCACTGTGGAATTTTACAGGGATAAAACAGAAACTATGTGAGAGGAAACTGACAGGTAGTGTCACCCCTTGGGCTGGCTGTAAGTAAGAAGGCAGGGAGGTGAGGGCCAGCTGAAAGTCTGAGGTTGGTGGGGCAGTGCCCCATTTGTCCAAACTGACCACTGCATCTGACTCAGGGCAGAAGGGAATCAAGGTAGTTTCCCTTCCTCCCTGGAACCACTGAGGCATTTTAAATGTATGTGGTTGGTTTTGTCTGCTTTCGGGTTTGGAAAGGGGCAAGAGAAACCAGCTACTTCATCAAACAGTCAGACCCCACTGTATATGGAAGTGAATTGTACTCTCTATATTAGATTACTTTAAAAATCAATACAATATAATGGGAAAGTGAGGAGAGGGGGTCTGTGTTTTCTGTGTGAGACTTTGTGTTTGGGGATGGTGTATGTGTAGTTGAGTGTAGGATGAGAGGATTTGTGTGTTAAGAGCTGAGGGGTCCCCCCCCGGGGGGGGAGGTCTTTAAAGAGAGAAACTGCATTCAAAGGAGTACTTTTATGTGATGAGGATCAAACATCCGTCTTCTTGGCACTTGGGTTCAGAGACAAGTTACATGTCTTCTAGTGTCACCAGTATTCATATTGTGAAATGGACCTCTCTTAGAGCAGAAAACAATGGGTTGAAATATGTGGCTTGCATGTTTCGTATTCGGGGTTCAGACCCAACCTCTGACTTATTCAGTTTGTGATCTTGGGCAATAATCTCCCATCTAGTCCAGCACCTGGTTTGTAGTAAGCCAAACGCCTTTGAGAAATTTAACAACAGCAGAGCATTTACCTATTCCATCATCAGCATTTGGTATTGAGGCAGAGAAAACGTGTATCATGGCTCCTCTATATTACTGCTGCCAAATTCCTAATCGTGAGGCTTTTCTTCCAGTGTGTAAATGTCATGGAATGTGACTTTAAGCAACATCACTGTGTGTTCTGCATGCACACATATGGAAAATACACAAATGTTGTTGTGGTGCTATGTCCACAAATGATCATGAACTCCAGCAGAATTTATTGGGCTTCATGGAGATAAAATTTTCTAGATACACTCAACTATAGTGCAATATTTGCATGAAGGAATCAGCAGCACTAATCTGTTCTCCTACGTTTTCAAGCAGGTATGACTCATTTAAGCAAACGGTGTTTAATCCAGTTCCACAAATCACAGTCCTGTTTACTACTTGCCATAGCATTTTGGGGACTCCAGCAGAGGTCTTTCATATCACCCACTGCCTGGTCCTTTTCCAGGAGTTGAGAAGTGCATCTAGATCCAGATTAATGTCATAATTCAGATCAGAAGGTATTTTATTAATAAGTAAACACACATCTATGTACAACACCCATCAACTGAACTCAGCCTTGTCTAACTGACAAAGCTGAAAGGTTGGCTCTTACAAGATTCTATTCATTCAAGATGCCGTCACATATTATTGTCAAGGGCTGAACCTTCTGCACGCAGAACATGTGTTCTACAACTGAGCTATGGCCCTTTAAAATACTCAGCTCTTCTTGCCATTTAAATTTTGAATAAATCTTAAGAATGTTGCCCCTCCTCCATTTAAATCTGCTTTTCTTGTCTCCTCCTCATGGCGGCCTTGAAAACAGGATGTCACAGACCCGTTCCTGCCATGCACATGGCCTAAGAATAATTGTCGCACTGTAGGCACGGGCATTTTAAAAAGGACTCCGCAGTCCCCCTTGCTTCCCCCGCCGGCACTTATCTGCTCCGGCGTGCCGTGTGGCTGTGCGCGCGTTGCTTTGGCTTTGGAACCGAGTCCTTTTGCCAGGAAACCCAATTCTGCCCTGGTTGGCAGGATCCCGCCCCCAGGCGCCTGCAAGGGCGCCGCTTACACCGCGCGAGGCGGTTTTTTTTTTGTGGGTGTGGCGGGACATGCGGCCAGTGTTGTGGGAGAAGTGGCCGGCGCCTGAAAAGCACCCGCGTCTCTGTGAACGAGGCAGTCCTACTCCCGGGACTTCGGCACTGCACTGGGCTTCTCCCCGCGCCGGACAGCCTGCTCCGAGGGCGCCTCCCCAACCCCATTTCCACCCTGCAGGCGCGCAAAGCGCCGCGCTCCGCAAGGGAGGTTTCTGCCGGGCGCGTTGCATACAGGGGGCTCCACAACAAGCGCCTCCCTCTTTCCTACGACGACGATGATTATTACTACTACTATCCTTGTATGATTGTTGGAAGGGCGATTAGGCCCCACGAAGATCGCCCTGTGGTCCTGCTTGCCGCCTCCCCCCCCCAGTCAGCGGGCGACGCGTGTCCGGTTTTCTCCAGGCAGCTGCCGCCGCTGCTCGTCCGAAGGCGGTGCGCCGCGGCGCGTTCTCGCGACACTTTCCCTTCTCGCTAGCGGTTATCTCGACGTTGTGGTGAAACCGGCGCCAGCCCGCTAAACGAAGCGAGCCCGTTTTGCAGTAGCGCCTGCCGCCGCCGCCTCGGTTGTCGTGGGAAAGGGCGACGTCGCCACAGCCGCCGCCACCCCTCAGCCTCCCCATTCCCTTCCCGAGAACCGCCACCGCCTCCCCCTCCGCTCTCGTTCCCGCCCTGGCGCGCGGGCGCGCGCAACCACATCCACACGCGCACACTCGGCTCTCTCTCTCTCGCAGCCCCAGGTAGAATTCGGCTGCCTTCGCCCGCTCCTCTCCGCGCATCCCTCAGATTTGCAGGTGGCGTGTCAGGTGTTTCGCTTCGTGGTTCTCTTCTTCGCCGCCCCACCCCTTCCTCTTTTTTGCCGCCAGGAAAAGCCTTTTTATTTTTTATTTTTGCTTGCGGGGGAAGCTTTTCGGAGCAGGAAATAAGATGCAGCGCCTCTGTTCTTGCAACGGGCACTGACTAGCCGAGAGGAAGCCACGAAGAAGAAGCAGCAGCTACAACGGGCGGAGGAGGAGGAGGAGAGGAGGGCAGCTTCCCGTCATCTGCACCGCCGCCTGGCTCGTCTCCTCTCCCTGCCAGACCTGCAGCCACCTCAAAACTTTCAGCCTGTCTGGCGGAGCCCCAACGCGACATCAATGGGTGAGTGTGGACGACACCGGCTGGGCTGGGAGTGCGCGGGAGTGCTCGTGCCTGCGCCTATCCCTCCCCTCCCGCCTCCTCCTCTCTCTCTCTCTTGGCCAAAGGAGACTTGCTGCGTGGCTCATTGTAGAGACCAACCTTGCACGAGCCCCTCGACGTCGCTAGCAGGCCGAGGCAGCCAGGCGCTGCCCTCTGAACCAAGTCTGCAGGGAAAGCCTCTCATTGCATTGCATTGCATTATATTTTGAATAACAGCAATACTAGCAGCCACGCATCGTCAGCTAGATCGGCGAACCGCGAGGGCGTCCCCTCCCCTCCAATGTTTCTTTTCTGGGTGTGTGCGCGTTTCGGTGCAGGGGAGCATCCTGCCTTATTCTCTTCCTAGACCTTTAACTCTTCGCTTGCCCCTTCCTCCCTCCCTCGGTGTTGACTCTGTTCGCGTCGCGCATGTGGCGAGATGTAACCGGAACCGTGTGAATGAAAGAAGGCCACAAATAAAACAAAAACCCGAACCAAAACAAAACCCGCACGACGGCACCTTGCCACGCGCGGGCAAAATGTGTGTGTTTGTTAAAGAACACACACACACACACACACACACACACCCTTCGCTCTCCTGTGGTGCCGCCCTGTGCACGACCCTGCGTGGCCAGATGTAATGTGAGAGACGGGAGAAGGGCGCCTGGGGGCCCGAGACGGATGAAGTGGAGATAAGATAAAGAGGAGTGGGAGGAGAGCCTGTTTCCACTTCTTCTGGCTCTGTATTTTGTGTGTGTGTGTGTGTGTGAGAGAGAGAGAGAGAGAGAGGGGGGGGAAGGCCGATGCAAAAATCAGCCCTCGCTGCCTGACAGGAAATCGGAGGGGCGTGCTGTGCCTTTGACATTTTTTCGAGGGAGGGGAAGAGAGTCTCTCCCTTTCTCCAGCCCCCTTGCCCCTCCCCGCACCGCCCGAAATGCCTGGTTGGCAGCTTTGCACAGCATCACTCCTCCCTTCCCTTGGAGACGCCTCATAGACCATGATGAGCAACCCGAGGCTCTGCTGTGTAGCCCCGCTGGCTTACCTGTGTGCAGCTCTCTACGCCGGACTCTAGGGGCAGCTCTCAGATCTGGAGGTGTGGCCGGCTTTTGGAAGAGGCTGCGGCTGACGAGCCTCATCGATCCTGGCAGCCATCCATCAAGGAAAGGGCAGTCTAGGGTTACCAGATGTTGCTTGCCGCAGCACCACCAAGGAGGGATGGATATTAATACGGTCGGTCCATTGAGCATCAGTGCTCTGGAATGTCCTCCCTCCACTCCCTTGCTCTTATTTTGTTTTTTTTTTAAAAAAAACTTCTAATTGGCAAGCCAAAGGGTATGCCTGATGTTAGAACATGGCTTTTCAGGAAAGAGAGCAGCAAACAAACAAAAAGTTAAACCGTTCAGCGTAGTAGGGAGTTCATCATGGAGATAGAAAAGCCCAATAGGTTTGCGAGGAATCTCTTGTGTCGCATGTCAGCAAGAGTTAGGGAATGAATCATCCATTTATATCGCTGTCAGGGGCTCTGGAGAGGCAGAAGAGGTAGCCGTGCCAGGCACTAGCAATCTGAAGGGCAAGCAGCCTGTTTCTGCCTGAAGAAGGGGCTACATTCACGCTTCCACCATGTGTTTGTCATAAATACAATGTGCTCTCTGTTGCAAGCATTCACGCTTTTGGAAAGTGGGGTGTTGAGCTGTTATGCAATAGCGACCCTATAGTGTCACATAGTTTTTTTAGAACATAAAAAACCCCACTTGTTGTATGCAATATATGTTTAGAAGGCAGCAGGCTGGAAGGAATAAAATGAGAGGAGTTTGGGCATTTTACAGTCACTACATGAATATGGAAGGGTTTTTGGGTGAGGGGGAGTCATTCCTTGTTGATGACTGAGCAAGCTTTTGAGCTGGCCAACTATTTAAGTAGGGATTTGCAACTGTAGTTCCTGTGTGGGTCACATGATTTGCACCAGTTTTTCACTGCTGAGCTTCAGTTACTGCTGTAATATAATGAAGTTCATTCAGTATGTTGGTATTGCATTCAGATGCACTGATCTGAGTTCAAATGCTATATTTAATTCACCATTCAATGCTTCTGATGTTCCAGTATTCAAGGGTAGAAGGATTGTGCTGGTCACCCTGACATTAAACTTTAATATACAACTTGGTGTGTGCATGTATTTTGCTCATTCATCCATATCTTGATTCAATTCTGCTACCCGTCAAGTTTAAATTGAGAAGGATCTTGCAATATTTTGCTTCAGTATATTGATATTTTAGGGGAACTTAGTTTCTCATACAATTTTTTTGTACATTTCTTTCTGTATGTAGATTCTGATATAGATGTTCAGAGACTTAACCAAAAAAGAAACATTTTCTTTAGAGCTGGTGTTGCCAAATCTGTTACTGGGGATAGGGATGTGATTGTCACCTGCAACATTTTAGAATAAGCTTCAGATCTTGATCCTGAGTTTGTTTCTACCTCAATATGGTTCTTGAGAAATTAATGGTTTGCTCTGTACACATTTTGGAATTGATAGTGTCTTTTTGTAGTGATTGTTGGAGGGTATTGATAAATTTATTTATTTTTTACAATGTCGCTTAATTACTATAGCCTCTTAAGCCAAACGTCTGATGCGGCTGTCGGCTATTGTTTCTGGGATGCCTGCACCAATTGGAAGCTGTGCCTTGGTTTTCAAACATTTCGGAAGTTGAACGGACTTCTGGAATGGATTACATTCAAGAATCAAAGTACCACTGTACTGTAATAAGAAACACCTTGGCTACTGTGTCTGCACCAGTTATATTTCGTGGCAGTTGGGTCTGAAGGTGCTTCAAGTTGCATATGCAGTCTCTTATGTGTCCTGTCACTATTTGTTTTACATTTTCATTTTTTTGAAGTGCGAACATTACCTGAAATGCAATGATTTGGAGCAGATCCAAAATAGGTTTATGCGACTGAAAAGACTCCTCCTATTCACAGATGGAACCAAGATCCAGTGGATCTGCAGGAAGAGGAGGAAAAGGCAGTTTTCACAAATTCCTCCTGCAGAACTCCATGCCGCTTCTCATGCTGCTGTGGAGGGTGTCTAAACTTTCTGAAGAATATTTGGGGACACATGGTGCAAAGTAGTTGGTAAAAGTTAGCCCCCTGCTTCTGCTGATGGGAGGCCAAGGGATGCTGCTGCCAGGGGATACCTAACTAGGATCCAAGCCATTATCCCAAATATTTGTGTGAGCTAACAGGGTCCTTCATCCTGTCTTATAGGCCCTCATCCACTCCTATTAATATGGATGATCTTCATACTGTTTGGAGGGATGCAATGTACTGTGTGTCCACATTACATGACACAATTTGCTTTGTCTGTAGCAGGCAGTACTGCAGTTTGCCTCCCTACCACACAACCTTTGCTCCCTACCACAGTAACATAACACCACCTGCTTCCCAAACATGTGCTCTCCCACTGAGCTATGGGCCTTAACTGGATTGATTTTTAGCTTGCTAAAACACCTAAACACCTGTCATTTAAGACTCTCCCCCCTGTCACAAAAAGGGATGAAGAAATGTTGCTGGGCTCCAACTCCCATCAGCCTTAGCCAGCATGGTCAGTGGTCAAGGATGATGGAAATTGTAGTCCAGGAACATCTTAGAGGGCAACAAGTTCCCATCCCTGTTTTAAAGGGAAAGGTTTTCAAATTGTAGTGATTTGAATTTATCCTATTAATTCACAGTCATTGTGAGTTACAGAATATATAATCTATTATAGTAAAGAGAAGGTTTAAATTGTTCCTTAAAATTTGAATTCCTTTGTTAATGGTAAATACAACCATAACCATTTATCCAGTTGCAAAGTATGTGTACTAGTAAATATTTTGATGGAGAACCTAGGAGGGAGGCATGTCTTGAAGCAAACTGAAAATAATACAGAACATGAAGCAGATTGACAGACTGCATAATAGAAAATACAAAGTTGAGACACATAAAACAAAATAAATACAAATTATTCAAACATTTGTGTTGTTTCTTAACACATAGGTATATGGGTATTGGACACCATTGATCTATGTTCAAATTTGAGAAACCTGTAACATACTGAGAACCCCAATTTTTTATCATGCACATAGCATGTCGGTTTGTGTGTATATATTACATAATTTTTTTCCCTTCTAAAACTAAATTTACATTACAGAACCAATTTCCCACTGTTGCATAAACCCTCATCTCTGGTTTGTGTCTAGTGTGCAGTCTGGTGTGCTGTTATTGCTTTGCTACTGGATAGGAGCATTTAACACTTGGATAACTCGACAGTGCTGATTTTTGTCCATTAGGGACTCACTCAGTGGAGAAAATAATTTACCCTCAAGGCTCCGAGATATATTAAACTACCATCTTGTGGTTAAAAACCTTACAAAGATTTTTTTTTTAAAGAGTTTGCTTTAATACCAACATGGTTTTCTTAAAATTGCAGGGTAGGAAGGAACCAAATGATAGTTGTGTTTGAAGTAACTGATGCAAGTCAGACAAGCCCCTACATATTCACAATCCAGTTTGCAGTGTACCCCAGTGGGGGAGTTGATATAAACTACATAATTTCACTACTTTGAAAATAGATCCAGATAATACAACCATGAGAATCAAGCTGTATTATCTAGGGATGACCCAAACAATAAGAGCAACAACCCAGGGTCTCTCGATATCCCTCCTGACAATTCAGCAAAGGTCTTCCGTAGAGCCTGAAAATACCAACTGAATGCAAATCTCGGCAGTCTCTTGCTTTTAGTTGTGACATATCACTGGTTTCCATGCTAGGTTCTCTTGAGCACCCACATTATTTTGAGTAGCTTAAGACCCTCTTTTCCTGCTGCAAGTGTGTCTCTCTGTGGGTCAGAATGTCAGAAATAGTGCTGGGAGTATATTGCACTAGAGTGCCATAAAATACCAGTGATAATTTCCATTTGCCTTTGTGGCCTAATACCCAAAACTATTAC